AGTGGCATAAAATGAATCCTCCATTATGCTTTGGTTTTCTTTCCTGTCTCAGGAAATAATGCTCCCTGGTTACAAATGGCCGCCAGGGTTGCAAATGGCTGCCAGTAGCAGACGGTCGTGCTCCGTTTCAGGAGGCCAGATTGTTTAGTGTCACAAATAGTTTGATAGAAAGTTTGAGTGAACATGTGAGATTATTTCCATAGCCTAGCTACCATGTTTTATCTGATCCACCTCAAAGACTCTTCAGACATCATCCACATAGAAATAATGATCAATATCTTCTCCTTAAAGATTATGGCTACTTATTTGCTGCACAGATTAAGTTCTATGACAAACTGCAAGCAATGTATTGAAAATCGGGAATGCAATCATTATGGCATCGTTGATACAAACCTAAAATATTGCCGTTCTTTTTCTTCTTTTAGCAGAGATTTCTTATGACTATGAATTTACTGGAAGAATATTATTTGATGAATTTATACAGACCCATATAGGATAACTTGAAAATAAGAGAAGAATGGATCTGTTATGTATTTTGTCCACTTGAGTATTTTTGTGGGGCCTGAGAAGATATCCTTTGTACAGTTTGGAAGTTGATTCATGTAAATAAATGTAAAAGGGTTCTGCAAATCAAACATTTTCAAGGAAAGTAAATTAATGAATTAAATGAGGTGAGAGGTCAGTGCTAGTAATTATCTTCTTCCAACAAACCAAGGCCAAAACTGACAAGCAAGGAAGGTCATCTTCAGTTAACCAAGACGAGAAAATACTGAAACAGATGGCTACAGGATTCTCATTTTTCACACTCAATTGGATTAATCCCCTTTAATAAGGGTCTGGTGCTGGGTATTAGCATTCAGACTACGCTGACCACTTGTCCAAAGTCAGCAATGCTCCCTCCTTGGGGAGGAAACAAACTGACATTGACATTGGTGACTCAATCTTCGCCAGTGCTAGAATGCCTTTAAATGACATTTCACTTGATAAATTTTGGGCTTATTTCACCATATAATGACTACTGATTTGTTTCATAAGTTTAACTCAGTTTCAAAACTTTTCTTTGATTGAAGTTTAAGTGTATCCATCAAGATTGTCTGTTGTAGTTAGGGTTAATTATCTCATGTTATTCTTGTTTGTGTAATGAGTTTGTTTTATTACCGTGTCTAATGACAGGGTGCTGACAGAAGGCTCATGCGAGGTGTAATATAAGATACATAAAAAACCTTGCCAGAAGTGCTTACTTCGAACATTGGGCTGCATCTTTAGATTACAGTGATGACATTCAAATGAAACAGATCTGACACAAAAGTCATAGAGTTTATTCAACTCTCATTGCATCTGAAAACTGTTTATGTTTTCATTCACAATTCAGAAAAACATAAGCGCAAGTTGAAGAGAAGTAATGCTTATCAAATTGGGCATCTAAACAGTCCTCTTCAGAATTACCATCAATAAGATAAATCTTAGAATGAAATATTGCCTGTTTGGGGCCTTTGTGTGATAGCTTTCATTTTTATAGTCATTAGTAATGGTCTAAAGAACCATTTTCCTGGCACCTTAGATGCTGGTCAAATATGATTGAGGAATATGGTGCCAAACTGACTGAGTTTGAGCAAGAATTTGATAAAAAAAAGAAGATGAGTGGCCTTTTCCGTGATTCTCTTGATTAGTTCACACTGTTATTTTCGGGTTCAGTGATCGTGTCAGTTTGAAAAATGCAGAATACATCTGGCTGCAGCAGACAACATTGGCGGCCATTTTGAATGGTGTCTGCTTGACATGTTTGCTGCACTGATTAATTCTGTAAAAAGACTTCCTGGAAGGACCCAACCTGCCTGACAGTAGTCGACATGGAAGTGCCTAAATGCTTTTGTTTAATGAGATCATTATTCCAAATGTTTCATCCATCTGGCATATGATTTATAGGGATCAGAGAGGGATATTCAACATAAATTTGCAATTGTACTTTTTAAAGAAATGTCAGTTTTGCTGTGTTTCTCGTAACCTTGGACCCCAAAGTTTTATCATCAGGGACAGAACTCATTCAACATAGAAAACAACTCATTTATCTTAGCGCTCTTGCAAAAATTGATAATGTAAAGGCTGACTGCAAAATATGAAAGTTTCTACTTGCCCAGAGGATGACTTTAACACATGGTTTGTCCATTCATTACAGAAGGTATTACTTTCAGCTAAAAATGGCTTGTTACTTTCTATATCTGGCCAGTGTATTCCTGTCAAAGATTTTTCCCCTCCCCATTCAAAAAGAAGATAAGTATACTACTCAAAAGAAGTTAAAGAAAACCCTATTTTTTTTCATATGACTTTAGTTCATCTGTCATGCCATAACAGATTAAATATAGTCTGATGAAAAAATAATTGTCGGGGCTGACTTCTTCTTTTTTCAACAGTTTGAAGAATATCAAATGGTCAGCCCCTTGGTAACTTCAGTAGGAAAGATACATATTATTTCTGCTATAAAACAAAGGGGTATTCCTTGTTATCTGTGATATGGGAGGACTAGAAATAGAGATAGCTCTTCTGTGAGGAAGGATGACAATTTATGTGAAAAGGTAGCCATTGTGATGTTCATTGCTAGTTAAGTGAGAAACTTGATGTGTCTAATTTGTTTCCGTTGATATCTCTGGCACTAGTTACACTGCAAGTGTTGATATTGATAACATGAACAGAGAATAAAACTAGATAAAATGCAGTTAATGACTGGTGTAATCTCCTGCTACACAGCACACATGCTTCATGAAACAGATGGATGGGGAACTATGTTCTGCTCTGTTAATGGGACATCCAGCTACAAGATTTTATGTTCTAAATTTGGAGAAGATCTTTAACACAAAGACTCTGTCTATTGCAAATTCAGATGCATGTAATATTAAATCCTGGCTTGTATAATACAATGATTTTTGGGGTCTATTATATACTACGCAAAAGAACTTTTAAGAACACTTGATACTATTGCAAGGTGTTTTCCTTGAAAAATATTCAGGCTAATATTTTTAATTAAATGTCCATCCATCCATCCATCCACCCATCAGCCATCCATCCATCCATTCATCCATCCATATTCCTTCCTTCCTTCCTTCCTTCCTTCCTTCCAATCTTTCCATCCATCCATCAATCCTTCCTTCCTTCCTTCCTTCCATCAATCCATCCATCCACCAACCCACCCATCCTTCCATCCAATCCTTCCTTCCTTCCTTCCTTCCTTCCTTCCTTCCTTCCATCCATCCATCCATCCATCAATCCTTCCTTCCTTCCTTCCATCCATCCATCCATCCATCCATCCATCCATCCATCCATCCTTCCTTCCATCCATCCATCCTTCCTTCCTTCCATCCATCTATCCACCCACTCGTCCAAGTCCTATTGTATCACAAGATGATTGGTGAAGCGTGTGGTGAAGACCATCATAAGTCTCCACGGCTGATCCTGACTCTCCTCTATAGGTCTTGGTTTATGAGTGAAGGTAGTTGTCCCTTCAAGGTAGATTGGTGAGGTATTCCAGATTAAGCGATGACTGCCAACAATCTGTGCTTGATTGAAAGGTTCTGAGGCATGGGATGTAAGCAAGAGATGTATTGTCCCGATTGTAATGATCCATGGAAAATGCTGTTTCTGTTTCTTATCATTTGGTTAATAGAACTTGGTCCACTTGTTATCTATGTCCAAAAATAGTCAAGTATTTTGACAAACTAAATTGAATTAATTTACCCTTCCTGTGAAATGTAATGGCATTTTCAAACTGTTTGAAATAAGCCCAAGACAAATAGACAGTATAAACATGCTCCCAATCAGCTAAAGCAAATAAATCTGTTTCTTCTGTTGATGTGAGGTGAAAAACATTGAAGATAAACTGTCAAAGGTTTTCACTGATAGGGGGAAAAAATTGTGAAATATTTATTCTTATCAAAAGCTGTAAATTCAGTTCCAATTAAGTAATAGGACTAACAGCCTGAAAATCACAGAGGTGTGTCACTCAGAGAAAACACGTGGAACCATGCTTTCAACAGCTGTTTATTCCATGTGTAATATGAACATAACCTGTGGCCTGAATAAAACATCAAAGATAGAACTAGCCAGGAGAGATTTTGTACCCACATTACTGCATCAGGTCTGGAGACTCATGTCTCCACTCCAGCTGAGTATATGATTGTTACAATTGTCAAAAAATATATATCAAACATCAGACACTGTCAATGGAGGCCACGTACATGCATGTTGTTATATAAGTGCAATAATCTTGAATCACTCTCACCTCAGTATATACATATATCACAGAGACAATGACTTACAAAGTTAACACATATGTTTTAACCCAATGAACATACTTTCTTGGGAGTACATTATTTTTGTTTTGTTTTTTCCTTCGAAATTTAGCTGGCCCATCCCAAACCTAAGAAAATAAATGGAGTGTAATAACATTCGTGTGATCCTCTTGTTTGTTAGAGTGTTTGTCAAGAGCTACTACTGGATACCTTTTCTATAATCTCCCTAATCTGTGAACACACATGCATGGTGTCAGTATGCAAGGGCCTCACAGCTGGTAATCCATGCACCTAGATAAGACATGTACCACATCACTCAGCTAGATCCTTTATGCCTTGGGTCACCAGCATATGATAAATATGTTATACACCAGGGTGCCGTTGTACAAAATAACCTTAGCACTACGGCTGTCCTAAGTCTATGTTAAGATATGGGAGTTATGATCACCTTGGCGCTAAGATCGCATTGTACAATGGCACCCAGACAGCCAGACAATGACACATATATGTCATTTTACTTTCATTTAGGGGTTGAAAAAATGTTTAAAATGCATCTGTTTTATGACATTCTTTTAAAATCAGACCAATATCAGACCATGAAATGATTATATGTGACAGTAGCACCTGAAGGAGCAGGACATCCACGATCTTGTACAATATCAGACATGATATGTTTCTCGTGTATGTGTTATACATCAGACATGTTCTCTGTTTCAGGGTCAGGAATTTACCAAACTGTTCCTGCTGGAATACCAGAGAGAAGACACGGGTGGCTGGCTCAGGTTCAGGAACAAGAAGGGTGTAGAGGTGAGTACATTCAGCATCAGCATTGTCACCAGGCAACATCTTAGTGATGATGAAACCTTAGTTGGCTAACCATGGGCAGAGGACATGAGCAAGTAGAATTAAACATCAGCACTGGCACCAGGACAACATCTTAGTGATAGGGGCGGTCAGGTAGCCTAGTAGTCAAAGCGTTCGCTCGTCACGCCGAAGAACCTGGTTCGATTCCCAACATAGGTACATAATGTGAAGCCCATTTCTGGTGTCCCCCACAGTAATAATGCTGGAATATTGCTAAAAGCATCGTAAAACCATACTCACTCACTCACTCACTCATACTCTTAGTGATAATTTAGACCTGGTTGTGAAACCATGGGTAGAGGACATGTGCAAGTAGAATAAAACATCAGCATTTATACAAGGACAGCATCTTATTGAAGTAGAGGACGTGTGCAAGATTATGTTCACTTCCCATATGTGACCTTGAACAATGATATTTCCGTACCGGGAAAATATACAATATATTTTGTTTGATAGAACTATATCAGATTTGGTTTTTGTATGTTGAAGCTGGGAAACATATAACAGATGAAACAGTCGTTATGGTCTGCTGATGTGGAAAGACTTGTTTATTCAGTGAGAACGTGTGTTGTTGACTTATCACGTGACACATGTATATCTCATCAGGGAGGGCAACACTGCTCATAAACCAGTGACAATTGACCAATCAAATGTCTAGCAGCTACATGGAACTGCTCAGATTGAGCTAGTCACAACATTCAGTAGTATTTATCACACACTGAATAAATATAACCTGTCATAAATGGACCCATTTAGCTACAAGTATATGGCAGACGGGTCAACATCAGTTTGCTTTTGTGCCGAGAAAAGGTCTTTCCTGTAACTGCTAGACGAAGAGCTGACATGTGTAGTGCTGTTTGTGTTGGTTGATAGGAGAGACTTGTCCTTTTGCTGTTTATAGTAAGAAACACTACTTAAGACATAAGAGGGTTATGATGTTATAATTCTGTAACATGATTCACAGTGGGAATGCCTCATATAGATAGAAACTTGCCTGTCAATACATCGTGGGAACTATAGTTTATAGGACTAGTCAATACATCTTGGGAACTATCATCAATAAGACTAGTCAATACATCTTGGGGACTATCATCAATAAGACTAGTCAATACATCTTTGGAACTTGCAGTTATATGACTAGTCAATACATCTTTGGAACTTGCATTTGTATGACTAGTCAGTACATCTAGGCAACTTGCCTTGCAAGACTAGTCAATACATCTTGGGAACTATTATCAATATGACTAGTCAATACATCTTGGGAACTTGCAGTTATATGTCTAGTCAATACATCTAGACAACTTGCCTTGTAAGACTAGTCAATACATCTTGGGAACTTGCAGTTATATGACTAGTCAATACATCTAGACAACTTGCCTTGTAAGACTAGTCAATACATCTTGGGAACTTGCAGTTATATGACTAGTCAATACATCTAGACAACTTGCCTTGTAAGACTAGTCAATACATCTTGGGAACTTGCAGTTATATGACTAGTCAATACATCTAGGCAACTTGCCTTGTAAGACTAGTCAATACATTTTGGGAACCATCATCAATTTGACTGGTCAATACATCCTTGGAACTATATCTTTTCCATTATATAATTGGGTATGTTTTAATATAATCACCGGTAGATTGGGAGAAAATGTGTGTAATTCTGGTTTAGTTTACGAGACAATACACACGGTAATCTTTATCCCTGCATATAAAATAATGCCTAGCATGACAAGAAATACATACGAAATTGTAAATCATCATGTCTACTGATGTTTAATCACCAATTTTACATTTTCATTGACAAAGTTAGTTATAGCATTGTTCATTCACTAGAAGTGATACAATGTAGTTTTTTATATATAAAAAAGGAATTTGATGAAGGTGCAACCCTTACATAAGCCGTTCCCTTTCTACAGAATTTTTTTTCTGGTCCTCAAAATTTGGCTTATCTATGGTCATATACAGTATATGACTAGTCAGTATACCTGGGAAACTTCCCTTTATTTGACTAGTCAATACATCTTGGATCTTGCATTCATATGACTAGTCAATAGGTCTTGGGATCTTTTTATGACTTCTAGCCCTCAAATGTTATATTCTATGTTGTCATGGTTAGTGGATAAAAAATTCAACCCTTCTGAAGTGCTTAGCTATTTATGTGCATTTATCATAAACATTTGATAGCATGGCATGATTAACTATTTGGCATTGAAATATTGGAGGTTTAAACCACTTGAAGGTGCCCATCCATTCTACATGGTCCCTTCTGGAAATTAAGCTGTCAAATAACAGGGAACCGAAATAGTGTTTCAATCTTACTCTGTCATCCTGTCCCTTTTCCTGATTTTATCAGTGAAAAAAATACCTTATTTGGAGCATGGCAATTTTAGGCATCTCATTGTAATCAAAAGTGTCATGGCTTGGGGATTTGTGAAATTGTTGTTAAACTACATGTATTATTGAACACGCTTTAAGTTTTGTGTTGGATATTCTTTGCACAAGGCTAGCACCTCATCAAAACTTTTTTCAGCTCTTAATTATGTATTGGCCAGTTTCCATGTTTGTCAGCCTTGAAGGATTAAATATTGGTAATCTGTCCAATGATAAGAACATTTTACCCACTTATTTATTTTTTGTTTATTTCACTCTGTGCTGACTCTTCAGCAGGGTGTCCAAATAGTCATCACAATCCTTTATTAAGAATGGACCCAGTGCGAAACAATTCCTGTTCTGAGAGAACGTATTTATGAGGACATTTTCGGAAAAAAATGCATATAATTGACGAATGACGTAGAAGGACAACTTTTTCGCAACTGGCGTTGATAACCAGACCATTAGTTTGTACCTGACAGAAAACTGTGAAATACGTTATATTGATTTTTCATTATTTCATGAAGGCAAGTCAAGGAAATGGCTTCCTTAGTAACGCGAGTGTGATCACCTTCTATTTCTCCCTCCAGGCTTGAAGAGGGTGAAAAAGCATTTTTCCGCAGATAGTGGCAACTCTCTGTGCAATCTGCGTGTATTGTTGTAATGGTTGAATTCGTAGTCTTTTAAACATTTTTATTTTAATTGATTGCATGGAAACATGAAGCCTAATTTCAGCCAACTCGTGAAGCAAGAATTTTGTATTATGGTACAGCGTTTGATGGTCCTTGTTTCCGTACATTGTTTTAGTATGAGCAGGGGCACATCATCTAAACGAAGCAAGGAGTGAGATTGATCCCTGTTTAAGGTCCAGTTAGATGATGATTGAGTGAGCTTCTTCCCAAATTCCCCAAGGGCCAACGCTGACCTGTGTTGACAGAATCGTTATTAGGAAGACAGAGCAAGATACCCTTACTCATTCTCTTGTGAATCATACCACTCGAACACTACACAAAAAAGGCAGGGAATCCTTCTCAGAAGACCGATGAATAAAATGCTTGTTCTAGTGTGTTCATCTTTACTCCAAACAGGCTTGTCAGTAAGAGCGAGTATGCTTTTATGCTGCAATATTCCAGCAATATCTCGGCGGGGGTACACCATAAATGGGCTTCACACATTGCACCCACATGGGGAATGAAACCCGGGCCTTTGATGTGATGAGTGAACACCTTAACCACAAGGCTACCCCACTACCCCTTGTCAGAAAGATGTACTGCCAAGTTTAAAAGAATAGCAAACTTTTCTTCCATATTTGAATATGGTTTTAATTTCTGTGTTGCAAAGGGAATCTGAAGGAATGCTAGGCACCTATTTCTTACTTATAAAATATGTAGTCGAAGTTGCAAATATGTGCATATTATTTCTGTGTGCTGAATTAGGCAGGTTTCTGTCAGACAAGAGAGTTGCCAGCTATTTGGTATTCAGTGCTACTTGAGGAAGGGGCAGCTTTATTGTAGACGGAGATGAATACCTGACTAGAACTCCTAATGAAGCCCTGTCTTTGTGGGCATGAATCATGGGGACCCCTAAACACTTGGAAACTTAATTAGTTCAGGGCAGCAGGAAATTAAGACAGGCAAATTCTGTTCTGACTTTGTTCATCAACTTGTGAATAATGACAGCCACTGCACCGCTCCAAGATACTGGAGTCCTTCAAAATGGCCGCCCATGGCGTCTGCTACCAGATGGGGTGACTCGCCCCAAATCATCAGAGTTTGTAATTGGTTGATGGAGCATTAGAGGTTAGATTGGACTGAGAATATTGTCACAGAGACCTGCATAGAAGCTGTGGGTTGTGGCACACCCCAGTGGACCATCTCAGTTAAAACACGGAATTGACTTGGTTGGGTTCTTGCGTTGGTGTCAGAAGCTGGATTGTTCCAAACTGACCATCCAAGCTGTCCACATGCTTAATGAGGCCGTGATTAATCACCACTGAGCCTTGCTATGGAATTACTGTCAGATTAATGTGTGTTTTATAGCTTACCAATCGCTCGTGGTTGATAAAATGTCGAAAACAATCTCTAGTTGTGGTCTTTCATTTGAGATGTTGGAAACGTCTGTTGATATGAGGATTATGGAGGTCCAAATAGCCAATGCAAACACTGTATTAAGAGTCCTTGGAGATGAATAAAAACATTGTTTAGACTTTTCTTAGCGACTATCTTGGAATGTTTTTACTATTGAGATTCATATTTCCTGTTCAAGATAAGAAATACTTTATGGTTATGAAAGATTGGCTGGCAAGCAGCCTGCTGTGACAAGCAGACATTGATTGTTCAGGAATATACATCATCCTCCTCCTGATAACGACAACAAAAAGGGAAAAGTCATTTGTTTCCAAAATGCATACGATACACTAGGGTCATTACATTGCAGCCTAAAGCTACTCTTTTGTTTTTGGCGAGGGGAGGTGAAATGGGGTTTAGCGTTGCGTCCAAGATTATTGCACTTATATAGAGTGTGTGTGTGGCTGACTGCTTGTACTCGTCCGGACTGATGCCGATTTATAGTGCTAGCCCACTGAGATTCCATGCCGCAATTTAACATGAATACCCAACTCAGACAGACACAGTGTACTGACTCTGAGCTGACCAGTCCTTGTTTTGGCACCAGACAGGGTAACAACATCTTTTAACATCTTTTGGTAAGATGCGGGTGGGGATCAAACCCCAGACCTTCCACTCTCCGGACGGACGATCTACCACTAGACCACAGAGGCGGTCCTTCTGTATTTGGATAAGACAATCATGTGGGATGTGGTACCTGTTGGTGTCGAGTGATGAGCCCATGATATAGAGTATGCAGTATTCGGGTAGTAGGGAGGGAGGGTGCATAGCGTAGGTAGCATGAATGATGTATTAGGGGTAGGGTTGTTGATTTGTTGATTGTTGTTTAGCGCCGCACTCAGCAATATTCCAGCTATGTGATGGCGGTCTGTAAATAATCAAATCTGGACTAGACAATCTAGTGATTGACATCATAAGCATTGATCCACACGAAAGGGATACAATGACGTGGATTAAACCAAGTCAGCTCGCCTGACCACCCGATCCCGTTAGTTGCCTCTTACAACAAGCATATGGTCGCCTTTTACATTAAGCTTGGGTTGCTGAAGACCTATTCTACCCCGGATCTTTACAGGTAGTTTGTATGAAGTAGATGCTGTGATGAATGATGTTGAGTGACAGGGATACCGTATTCGATATTATAAGTGTCCAGGGGTCTCTCAAAATTAGGAATAGGGGGCTCTTACTAGAATATTAGTTTGGTGAAATATCGTAAGTTGAAAGATCGTAAATTTCGTGGTTAATGCTGACAGCCTAAAATGTTTATATACAACAGATATATTTTTCCAGAATTTAATTTCCCATAATTAAGAATGCATATAACACACATATTATACATGAATAAATAAGTCTGCATTGATCAATCGGAAGGGGTGCTAATTGGGATTGTTCACTAGCCAATATATTATCAAATATCACCGTGGGCATGCACTTATTAGAGCAGGGCGCGTATTACATCGAACACGGTATTGGGTGTAGGAGGGTTTAGGTGTAGGGCATGTGTGGTGTTGGGGCTTTTCTGTACAGTAGTAGAGATGTGTGGTGTGGTGTTGGATTTTGTCAAGAAGCAGTGTGTGCAACAAACTCACATGACACTGCAGAGAAAATATTCTTTCAGAATGTGATTTGTACAAAAAATAACGTTAGAAAGAAGCACAGCTACAAGCTCTTATCATTTATGATTATAGGACTGGCTTTCCAGTGTGAGATCAAGAAGGTGTCGGGTAGTGCATCTAAATCTCACAATTTCGATAAGACAGGGACACTTTTTATCAACACTGATGATTGAATTTCACAGCTCAACTAATTGCAAGTTTATAAGACTGTCAAAACATGTCTATAAGAGCCATGTTTGTTCTGTTTGGTAACTTGAAGCTAGGTCCCTCGGAGAAAAGCAGTCAAGAATTTGATATTTCTGTGGAGAATGTCGAGAGGCTACACTGATTCAGGAAATCACTCTGCCCATGGTTTCTCAACTTCTCTGGCAGCCAGAATAGACACAAGATCAGTCAGTCGAACATTTGAGTGACTGCGCTCCTGTTTGTTCGTGCAACCACGTGGAATAAGAAGACGTACTGTATAACCCTACAACAGAAGCCATGGACGTTACAAAATGAACAACAATATGACAGCCAATATGAACATGGATAAAATTAACGGTTTGAACAGCGCCCTCCTGTGGTAGTCTCCCTATGTGTGAGTAGATCAGCTGCAAGCTTCCTTATAACATTCTTAGATATTTTGACTTGGCTGGAGAAATTGTTGGTAATGATGCGATACCTTCCCACTTCGTGGTTATACCTCCCTCGTGGTTAAAATCCTGTTTTAAGCATGGTGGCTTAGTAAGGGCTTTGAAGATATGGTTCAGAGAGAAAGAGTTCCTACCTAGTGAACCCAAGAGGTACATCTCAGGTTACCATAGGAAAATGATGGCCAAAAAATGTTTTCGTTAACACCTTCATATTTAGTCTTACAATGAGTGAGTGAGTATGGTTTTAAGCTGCTTTAGCAATGTTCCAGCAGTATAATGGCAGAGGACACCAGAAATGGGTTTTCACATAATTTTACCCATGTGGGAATCAAACGCAAGTCATCGGTGTGACAAATTAATGCTTTGACCACTAGGCTACCCCATCTAGCCTTGGATGAGGGAGTGAGTGGTTTTATGCTGCTAATATTCCAGCAATATCCTGGCAGGGGACACCAGAAATGGGATTCACATCACCCATGTGGGAATCGAACCCAAGTCGTCGGTGTGACAGATTACTGCTTTGACCACTAGGCTACCCCATCTAGCCTTGGAGGGGAGATGGGATAGCCTGGTGGTTAGAGCATTCCCTCATCACGCCAACGACCCAGGTTCAATTCCCCGACATGGGTACAATGTATCAAGCCCATTTCTGGTGTCCTCCGCCAGGATATTGCTGGAATATTGCTAAAAGCAGCATAAAACCACTCACTCACTCACTCACTCACTCTAGCCTCAGAACAGTAAAACAGTATATGTAAATTCATAAAAGAAAACTTAAATCCTTGTTGATAGATCATAATTTGAAGGGCATAATTTTATTTCTTAGCCTAAAAAAATCTTGTAATTGATTCTCTCTTATCTGAACATATCTCCTTCAATACATGGATCATGTTAGACTATATCCACCACTCTTTGTGTTGTATAGTGGGATTCCTGTGCCGGACACATGGATCATGTTAGACGATATCCCACACTTCTTGTGTTGTATAGTGGGGTTCCTGTGCCGGACACATGGATCATGTTAGACTATATCCACCACTCTTTGTGTTGTATAGTGGGGTTCCTGTGCCGGACACATGGATCATGTTAGACGATATCCCACACTTCTTGTGTTGTATAGTGGGGTTCCTGTGCCGGACACATGGATCATGTTAGACTATATCCACCACTCTTTGTGTTGTATAGTGGGGTTCCTGTGCCGGACACATGGATCATGTTAGACGATATCCCACACTCCCTGTGTTGTATAGTGGGGTTCCTGTGCCGGACACATGGATCATGTTAGACGATATCCCACACTCCCTGTGTTGTATAGTGGGGTTCCTGTGCCGGACACATGGATCATGTTAGACGATATCCCACACTCCCTGTGTTGTATAGTGGGGTTCCTGTGCCGGACACATGGATTCCAATCATTCTTTGAGTAGTGTCTTGTTGGAAACATATCCTCATTTCAATCCCCACCTTCCCCTTTTGGAAACCCTTGGATCCACCCCGGCCTCAGTGGCTCCTCAGCTCCAACTGTAAACACAACGTTTTCAACATGTGTCCATGTCGATGTGTCAAAGACAACAATAGTACCACGTCACCTGCCGTTCCTTTATTTACGTTAGTCCACACACTCCCATAATGCACTATTTACTTGTTGTGTACCCTGTTTTCTTTTTTAACGCGATACTTCTCTACATGGATCGCCCTTATCCAAGTCTGTCACAAGTGTCACTCGCAACAGCTGAAATGGCAGTTGTGTTTTCTTAGCTTCTGTGGTTTTTGTGGCCAAGAGAAAAAAAACAATGTTACATCCCTTTCCAAACCCTTTCTCTCATGGAGAGGAGGATGAAGAATAAGATTACCCCAGGGAACAAAAACCGTCTTAAGTGGCACAGATTGTGTTTAAATGTTCTCTTGAATCATATATTTGTTTGAAGAGTGATAAGCATCACGAGTGATAAGATACAAGATACAACATTTTACTGAGCAAACATTCCATGAAGAAACAGTGACATTATTCTATGAATTATATAAACAGATACATAGTAATCAGGATAACTATACAAAGTACCAACACAAAATATTATGTTATGACCTAGGATTATCAATAATAAGTATTTTCATAATAAAACAAAACATTTTTAGTTTTTTATATATACTATGTAATTCTTTCTGTTTGAACATTGAGGGTTCATAATTACTCCTGTTTGCAGATATATATTATTCCAAGGCAATGACAATACCTACAAAATGTTCCCTTGATCCGAAACAAGTTAATCTGTGAAGATCCGAGTTAGAATAGGTCTTCAGCAACCGTAAGAGACGACTCTGCTTGTCGTAAGAGGTGACTATCGGGATCAGGCAGTCAGGCTTGCTGACTTAGTTCATGCATGTCATCTTATCCCAATTACGTAGATCAATGTCAATCATAAGATTGTCTGGTCCAGACTTGATTATTTACAGACTGCAGCAATATATCTGAAATATTGCTGAGTGGGCGTTAACAACAAACAAACAAACACAAATCAAACCAAGTTTATATATACTGTGTAAGTGTTTCTGTGTGAGTTCCTAATGGTTCCTGTTTGTTTGCAGATATTCCAGGGTAACGACAACACCTACCATGCTGTGCTGCAGAACGTACAGCCGCCTATCATAGCCAAACGTGTGAGGTTTATTCCCTACAGCCAGCACCCACGGACAGTGTGTATGCGAGTGGAACTCTATGGATGCACATGGGATGGTAAGGTTTCCCTCCAGCATATTTCTTTGTATTAGAAGACAAAGAGGGGGATGGGATTGGCAGGAGATGGGATGGTTTGTGTGCTGTCATGATAGCTTCAGAGGCTGGGTCATGAAAAGTTTATGCCTGGTTTAGGAACATGGTTGAGTGAGTGAGTGAATGGGTTTAAAGTATTCATGCCTGGACCCCTGAGAGTGGGCCTTCATTGGCTGTCATGACACTTATAGTAATCACATGGTGCTGACATTGTAACCAACCAATACACATTTCATTGGTGACCTGTGTTGCCCCAGGATCCTGACAGGGTACTGAACCATGACCGATAACTTCATTCTCATTCCAGCCTTGCTCCAAGTCTGTACTGACTGATAATCCCATGGACGTATGGTCATTCTATTCTTATAATAGGCAAGTCTCGATAAGCAGACAGTACAAGGATGCCAGTCTTTTGTAATGACAACTTGTTCTAATAATTTATTAATCTAGGATTTATGATTTAAATTAATTATCATTACCTTACTTGTGCAACTGTACCAGACTTGACCCCTGTAGGTGTCCTGAAGCTTCAACATTTATCTGATACTAAAAAACTGCCAAATCGGTTACTCAGAAGGAATTATTCTATGAATGCAAACAAATTTATTTCATTATTCAGCTGATTCTTACAATTTAAAAAGAATGTATTGGCCCTGGAGGTCTTGTTACTCTTGTTGACAGGTCTGGAGATTGTACAGCTTCTTCTGTTAAACAAACATGTCATCTGTCAAAAGCTGGAGTTTGAAATTGTTTCCTGTCTCTGACAGACATCCAGAGTCTGTTCAAATCTTGCCTGCTCCTCCTATTTCACTCTTTGAGAATTTTGATAATGGATATCATATCATCTTCATCCTGTGCCCTGTCGTGGGATAAAAAGTCTGGGATAAAAAGGCTTCTTCTATCATTGAAGTACCTCAAGAACTCACTTTGTGTTATTGTGAGGCTTACATCACATCAAAAGGAATATCTGAGTTATGTCTGAGTTTCACATTACTGCTGACTTTATGTAACGTTGTCCTTAATGCTCACAGGTATCCATTTAGTACACTTTTCAACAAAGGCTACCGGTATCACTGTGGAATAGATATATATATTTTTATTGAAAGCCCAGGCAAGTCTAGATGAAACTAAACCAAGTCTATACAGCAGGAGAGGAAAGGTTCTTTTAAAGGAAAAAAAGTTACAATTATTTTTTAGAAATGTTTTCCTAGACTACATGTTAGCCTATAAAGTTAAAGTAAATCTGTCAGTTTTACCTTGAACTGAAATCATCACGGACCCAATACTGTGAATATTCGGGTCAGAACTGGTCCTCAGAGGCTGCTTGTCGTAAAAGACGACTATCAGGCTTGCTGACTTGGTTGATGCATGTCATTGTATCCCAATTGCGGGGATCGATGGCCATGATATCCATCACTGGATTGGCTGGTCCAGACTCGATTATTTACATACCGCCATCATATAGCTGGAATATCGCTGAGTGTGGAGTTAAACAACAAACTAACAAATAAACAGGCCCAACTGTATGTTGAAATCAGATAATATTGTATTATCTGCCTCTATTCGTACAACTTCCAAGGACAGGCCTCAAATAAGACATTCAACAAACCTGGCTTTGATTCCCTGTGAGTGTTACAAAGCAGATCAAGGAAGTTCGTGAGACATGACAGAAGCGCCATTTTCTTGAACTGCGTAACCAGATTCTGTATCTGTCAAAGAGACCGATGTTATCTAAACAAGGCCCAGTTTCAACCAAAATTCTTTGCAAATGTTTTACACCTATGTTTCTGTAAACAGAACGCCCAGGTGTTTTTCATTGGCCGTCTGCTTGTTGTTCCACCTTATGTGAAGCTCAAAGAAATAAATTATATAACGCCCCAAACCTTTAAATTGTAAGTTGTAGCTGATTTTTAAACAATTATTCACCAGCTAAAACACCACAAAGGTGTTTTCTATAGTTCAATATACATAACATGAACATCGATAACAGACAACAAAATGGGCAGAAGTTGGCTACACCGCAGTCGGTCTCCCAGACCCTGGAGATTAAATTAAAAAATTCATCAAACTCAAGTCTAGAATGATTTAGCAAATCTTAATTGAAATTAAGTCTTGTTCTGGGCTCCATTTGGATTTTACTTTTTATTTTTTGGATGTATATTTTTAAATAAGATAACTTTATTTCTGGGCCTAATGTCAGTCTAGTTCTGTTTCTGTGGGTAGCCAGACTATGTACTTCACTCAGTCCTCTCCATGCTGTGAAACTGAAAGCCTGTTTTCATTGATAAAGACAGTCTACTGGCGGGAATGGCTGGTATTTCAAGTCTTACTGGTAGCAAAATACTGGCAGAATGTTCATAAACACAAGAACTGGGGTTGAGATGTGGAGAGAGAAATTCCCCAAACACACCTCCGGATATTCTGCACCACTACTGCGTGAACAACCAGGCTTTTGGATGACTGAAGAGCTCAGACCTTTTCCTACTTACTATATTACCATACAATAGAGATGGAAGTTAGAAATTGATTTAGAGAAACTACCAATATTCATTACAAAGTAGAAAATAAAAACAATATTCAAGCAATAAAGATGGGTTACTTATTGGTCAAAGAAGGGGCAAGTTACTTGTTTGAGAGATTCATAAAAAGAGTGGTAGCCTTGTGGTTAAAGCATTTGCTCTTCACGCCAAGGACCTGGGTTTGATTCCCCACATGGGTACAATGTGTGAAGCCCATTTTGGGTGTGCCCCTGCTTGATATTGCTGGAATATTACAGGAATATTGATGAAAAGGGTTAAAACCACACTCACTCAGTCATAAAAAGATGCCACTGTCTTTGTTTAAGCAAGTAAGCTGTTGAGCGAAGTATTGGCTACAAGCCACCAGTTAGTTTACATAACACTACAACAGGCCTCCAAACACCAACTGGGCCATCTACCAACACTGTTTTTTGTGTGGGATATAGTTTAGATATGACTGTCTGATCATGGGGAGATGGTAGGGAGGAGGATGTGTCAGTTTATCATATCATGACCGAATCAACACATCTCTGTTGACTGCCAGCCACCACCTCACCTCTCAGACCACATTAATACATCCTATATTCTCGCTGTTTGTTTCCCAACCCACCAGCTGTCTATTCATCTACTGAGAATATTCCTTTGGCGCCAGAGCGGACATACCCCACCCAAGGCTTCATCTGTGAAATAGCTAATTTTGTATCATCTCATATTCTAGGATGTAGCATTTCTTGGCTGAGGGTATTTTCATAGACAGGGGAGAAGACGGTAGTCCCTCCTGGTGACTGTTTATATGCAATGGTTCTTCAGGTGGCCAATAGCCTCCCTACAGATGGCGCTAACAGATCTCCACCTGCAGGTGGTGGCCATCTTGTCTGTGTGTCTTGCGCCATGTTGACCTACACTGGTTAGAGGGGATTACGTTTAGTGGTGCAAATGTCTTCTAAAAAAAAAGCTTCATCTCGATATTGGTATTTATTATTGGCCAGCAATGGCAGATGACACGACCACTAGTCTGTTGGTCCAAGACTTGTCAAAATCCAGAGGGACCAGTTGTTTCCTCCCAAATCTAGCTATTTTACATTAACCACTAGTTTGAAATCAGCTGTGGTCTTATTCGACTTGACCAATGGTGTCTACCCCTGGTTGGGGATTCTAGTTTGGTGATGCAGTCATGAGTGAGTGAGTGAGTGAGTATGGTTTTACGCCGCTTTTAGCAATATTCCAGCAATATCCAGTTGGGGACACGAGAAATGGGCTTTACACATTAATTGTGCCCATGTGGGGAATCGAACCCGGGTTTTCAGCTTGACGAGTGAGCATTTTAACGACTAGGCTACCCCCGCCCACAGTCATGACTTTGGATGATGATGATGATGATGATGATGATGATGATGATGATAAGGAATGATAGGGTTTTTGTGAAGATGAGGTGAGATGAGATGAGATAATATAAGCTTTGCGTAACATTTTATTGAGAAGCAGTGACAATATTCTACAAACTACATGTATATGCACATGAAGTACAAAACACACAGATACGCTCCACATACAAATGAGGTATTTTATAACGATTTCATTTCCAAACAAATGTAACATGATATGTTCTTCTGTATTACAATGGAATGCTTTTGCTGAATGCAGCTTGAAACAAAAAACAAACAAAATAACAAGGGAATGCATTTACCATGTTTGTTTGTGGTTTAATGCCGCACTCAGCAATATTCCAGCTATATGAAGGCGGTGCATTTACCATGAGACTGCTCAGAGGAAAAGAAGAAGTGCTTGACAGTCTGAACGATTTTTTACCAATCAAACGTTTTCATAATTCTTAATTGCATATCAGTGTACATTTACCTAATTGAGAAGTAATTAACAGTTAATTAAGCTCTTCTTTTTATAAACAAATGAGTTGAAAATTTCTTATGTTCGCACTCTTTCAAATTTGATAGAAAAACTGCAAAGGAAACCATATCCTGTGCAGTAAAACATTCAAGGTAGATTAAGTGAAATTGAAGACATTTTTTCCTTCTCTTTCTGTTGAAATCGTCTTGAATCCTATTACTACGTTTTTCGTGTTTTCTTCTCCCACTCGTAGAAGTTCTGGTGTCACAAAAGTAGTTTGAGCTCCATCTGGAAGCGTTTCCATGTCAAACTGAAGTTTCTACACTAGGAAATTTAAGATTGCTGAAACTGGTATGAAATCGGCCTTTGGTGTATTTTTTGGTAATCGTCCCAAGTCGTCCCACATCTGTCAGTGAAGCCTTGACAGTAGAACCAGGATCGGTGAAATTTGAACATCAGAAAGCAAAGTCTGTTACACATCTGTGCCATCGTCTTCTTTTTACCTGTTCTGGAAGCAGCTGCTGCAACCAGTGTGTTTAAAATAATACTGACAGGAATATGTGCAACACATCACAATATGGGGACGTTCTGTCACATCATTGCCTCACACAGAACATTAGAGAGTTTGAAGGGTATCTTGACGGCTTATTTTTGCCAAATTGCAACGAGCAAAACTTCACCCCTTGCCATTAATCTCACCTCACACATGACCTCGAGCATGAATTGCTTCCACCGTGTGGAACTGCTCTGGTCATGTGGACACTATTATCTGGAAATTGACATATTTTGGTGGCCAGCAATGGAGGTCTGTGAGAAAAACATCTGTTCCGCGGCTAATTTCCACAAAAGGGTGAAAAATGCATGGATAAAGTTAAGGAAAGATGGAAAATAAACAGTGATTAACAAATTAGCAAAAAGTGGAAATCCTGCAAAAACATGCCATGCCACTATTCAGGGTAAGTCGAGCAGAAAATGCATATATCAGGAGAGACCACACCAATATGACAATGCGTAGGGAAGTGTGCATGTCTGTTAGAAATACTATCATTATTTAAAGCAAATTTATGGTTCTGTATGAAGGTCTGTTGACTGCGATGAGACAAAAAGTGCCACCAAGGCTTTCTGACAGATTGGTTGTGAAGAATCCATCTGGTGAGAGAATTCTCAAAACGTAAGAAACTCCACCAAGTAATGAAACACAGAACTGTGTTACCACTTTGGTTAGTTACGCTCGTACATGGCCCATTGTGTGATGACGTACGTAGGACAACACAGTGATAGGTGGATTATATCAGACCACCATCATATAGCTGAAATATTGGGTGCATGGTTAAACAACAAATAATTTTTTAATTTGACGTTTACACGATAAACAGCTTTTCCATTTGCCATTGCAAACTCCGACGGTCATACAGTTCATGGGCGGATACAGCTTTTTTGAAAAGGGGGGGTGCACAATTAAGATGTCTTTGGGGATAATTTATACAGAAATAAAGATTTTTTTCGAAATAAAAAGGGGGGGTGCGCACCCCCGCACCCCCCCCTCTGTATCCGCCCATGCAGTTTTGCTCTTACTCTATGAAGGTTCATACTCCATTGAACTCACATAAAGTGAAGGTCAATTCTTAAATAATCTAATAAACAAAGAAGAGTCACAAAGTCTTGCCGTACTAATGTCTATCTTTGTTTTCAGATGGTTTGGTGTCCTACTCCATGCCACAGGGAGACCGACGGGGTTCTGAAGTTGATTTGTATGACTTCACCTACGATGGAGACGTCAAGAACAAGTACCTCAAGGATGGCCTTGGTCAGCTAACTGATGGGGATGAAGGTCACACTAACTTCCGATCAGACAAGAAGGGCCTTGGTGTCAAAGGATTTGAATGGGTGGGATGGAAAAATGACACGACGTCAATGAAGCCTATCACCATTGTTTTCAAGTTTGAACATGTGCGGAACTTTTCCAAAATTATGATCCACTGCAACAACCTTTACAGCAAGGAAGTCCGGGTGTTCCGGAAAGCAATCGTCCATTTCAGTATAGGCGGAAAATACTACCCGGGACCTCCTGTCAGATATAATTTTGTGCGGGATGACTATTTTGAGGATGCTCGTCAGGTGATGATACGCCTCGAAAACAAAGTGGCAAAATACATCAAGATGGAGCTGTATTTTGAAGCGCGATGGATCATGATAAGTGAAGTCAGCTTCGAGTCAGGTAAACATTTTACGATTGCAAATCAATTTTGGATAATATCACTTTGGAATTAAACATGCATGTTAGCACCATAGGTTAAATATCCAATTTTACGTGTTTAAATAAGTATTTGGAGAATTTGAGTTATTGACTGTTATTGAACAATATCATTTTATGATGGGAAATATTATAATTGTCAAAAGCGACAATAAATGTTATCAGCAAATTCTGGCTTTAGAAGAAACCCATCATGATCCAAGGATGCCAAGTAACATTATTTTCGTGAATCACAGGTAACAGCAGGTTTTGGCTGTGGGTATTTTGTCTTAAGTGTACTTCAGGACATAGAAAATATTGACTCAGCCACCAAAGAAAGTTTACCCAATAACTTTTCAGGAAAGAGGCCACCAATAATAGGAAGGATTTGTTTGTTTTCAGAAATAGTCACAGGTAACTTCACCCCAGAGACTGCTCCGCCCACAACGCTGGCTCCGTCTACGATATCTACGACTCTACAGAGAGACCCCAGTGAGCAAGATGTGATTTTCAGGATTAATAATGAAGGCTCCAACACTCCCAAAGTAGAATATGGAGATCGTGAGTAGTTGTACCTCTGATAAATCATGATTTTTATGTATAAACACAGATGAGTGTGTACGTGAGAAGCATGCAGCGATGGTGGTCAAAGGGAGGCAACTCTTACAGCCTCCAATCATTCAAGTTTGAGCAAGTTTACTCTTCCTTCTCAATTCAAGGGTGGCAACCTTACAGTTTATTATATTGTATGAATATACAATATTATTAATATACTTAAGGGAGACAACTCTCTGATTGATATACTAGTTAATTTGCGTAATTCAAATCATAATTTTTGCTATCTCACAACTGCCCCAATGAAGATCTGGGTTAGAATGCTTGTCGTAAGAGTCAGCTCAGAGGATTGTGTGGTCAGACTCGCTGACAGTGCTATGATGTCAATCACTGGATTGTCTGGTCCAGAATTAAATATTTACAGACTGTTGTCATATATATCTATCATAAGGGTGAGTGAGGTGTATAACAAGAAACAAAACCAAAACAGTTCTATCATTATTATTTTTTCGTGTTTTGTTAAATAATATTCATGTGAAGTTTGTTTCACTTCAGGCCCAGCATCACAGAGCACAGATACAATTACGAAAAAGGGAGAAACAGCTGAATTCGATGATGGATACATTGGTGTTATCATTGGTGCTCTCGCTGCACTGATTGTCATTCTTATCATAATCATCGCTATTTTCATCATTCGGCACAAACGTCGCAAGCACAACAATAACCGTCGCAACCTCAAACCAGTGGTGGATCGCCATGTCACAATAAACCTGAACGACTTGCGTGGATCCACAAACGGTAAAATTTCAAATGGTAATATGTACAACAGCGTGGCAACAGAAGAGGGGGAATCGGATCGAGAGACTTATAGTGCCGCTGACAAACTGGGCAAGCCGGTCTACCTGGAACCCAAAGACACGATTCAGGGGAGAGAACTCCCTGAGCTACCCGCGAGTCCTGAATCTGGTGGTTTGTAGCCAAATTTCGATCCAGCATGATAATTTGAAATTGTGGACTACGCTGACTTCTAACTCTTGTTAAATGTATTTCTCAATGACAGAAGTGTTTCTTATTGCACCGAGTTCACCTTGCACTTTGGTCGTGTGAAAAGTCAAGTAGACAGACATGTTTTAACTGTAGGAGGAGTGACAGTAGATTGTGATGTCATGTGACCTGTCTGAAGTGTTGTGTTGTGTTTTCAAATGTTTTTCCGCTTCATTTTGTGTCATAATCTGCTGCTTCTTTCATAATTTTGTACTTCAGCATGACGGATTCATTTCATAAATTTGTAAGCATTGTCATCTGAAGAATGTCAAAATCAGCTTCAAGACAGATGTGTTTAAGGACAGCTGTTAAAGAGATATTTGAATGTTTTGCTTTAACAGTCCAGATCTGAATCATTGCGAGTGATACCCTTTTATTTCATTCAATTTCTATTTTCAACTATTAGAAGTTTGTGTGAATTGCATGACAAAACACATCCTCTCTATCTCCAGAGCTGGCATTTCAGTAGCCCCCCCACTAACCCCTGGTTCCATTCTCATGGTTTTCGCAATCTCAAATGACCTGCTCTTGATTTTCAATAGCCAATTTGATTTGCTATGCTACTCAGTCTAATGGACCAATCAGAATGCATGTTAGAAACCAGCCTCAATGTTAAGTTGGCAAGATCAACAACATGGCAGCCAGTCCCACTGATTATTTTACAGTTTGTAAGAAATTCAACATGGAGAAACTGTACTGAAAGCCTCAAGATATCTCATTGATGGGAAAGGATGTCTTCATGTCCATTAAAATTGGCAATGGCTTTAGTTTCTATGCGGTTGGAGTTACTTTCCTTTCCTGTATCTCGACCGTGTTTTGTCGGAAAATGTTAATGAAAATCAAGGATGGGTAATTTTAGATCGCGAGAACCACGGGAATGGATCTGGGAGTTAGTGTAGGTTTACCGACATGTGAGCCCTGGAGATACAGAGGAAGGACAAAACACAGATCTTAGTTGTTTTTATCTTTTGTGGTCACCCTAGATTTTTAGTTTCCCTCATTTTGGCCACACAACACTTCACGCTGGTCAGCTAATATTTTCTCATGTCTAACATCGTGTTCATCATTTGCCACCTAGACAGTGCTGAATTTCCTGCTTTGTAGACGCCATTTCATTGGTTCTATTTCTCTCACCGTAGCTTTTGGTACCCGATGTTTGTCATGTGACCAGTTTGACAAAAAGAGACACTTCTGTCATGTGACCTATCAATTCTTTCCAAATCCATATTATCTCAGAAATCATAGGCTACAAAGTCACAAATTCAGCTGCAAGTTAAACATTATAGAAACTCAGTTGCTTGTAAACATTAGGCTTGTTCAGTTCTGCCATTGGACTATAATTTTATGCAGATTAATCAAATTCAATAATTCCATCAAGTGGGGTTTCGTCATTCCAATGGTGATGGTTGAGAATTGTGAGACAATCACAGAACTCCGTAGGGTTTATTCTGTCTTCGCTAAAAGTTCCAAGCCGCCGACAGTACGTGATCCTGTGACAAAAATATAATTTTGGTGTTACGTTATGAAGGGCTGATGCCAAATTACCTCCCCTTGATCTACGGTATCCTTGGTAACAAGCATCCTCACGCTTTGACAATAAAATTGACAAACCTCGACCTTATTACACTACACATGGGGGTAGATCAAACTTTATTTCTTAAATATGACCCATTAAGTTAACTTTTAATTCCAGTTATTCACACAGGTAGTTTGCATCATAGAACTTAATTAAACACATAACCACAGAACTTGTCTCTAAAGTCAGCCATCCAATAAATGAATCTCTAAAACCCATGAGGTAACCTATATTTTCAAAGTCACTCCCCCCTCCCCCCTACCCTGTGTAACAAATGTTTCAGTATAGCATCCCCAAGTACATAGTACCCCAGCCGTTACTGGTGATAATAACAGTCATTATTATTGTTTATCATTTAATCATGATATGCATCAGTTTTTGATGTCTGCTAAATATGTGGCTTGTTCTGTGATACTAATTTGCCATCTTATTTACATGTTCTGAAGCATATTTGTGTTTGTATAATTATGGAAGAACACCTATTAAACAGAGCCTCCACGTGTCCGTTTATCATAAGTTGATGCATGTCATCATATCCCAGTTGCATAGATCGATGCTCGTGATGTCGATCACAGGATTATCTGGTCCAGATTTGCTATTTACAGACCGCCGTCATTTAGCTGGAATATTGCTGAGAGCGTTGTTAAACAAAAACAAACAAACATAGGTCCTAATTTCCTGTACAATCAAAAACTAAAATAACTCCCATGTTGACTAAACATACAAAACTTAAATTTGAAACACCTTTGTAGTTCCCAGCAAGTGTTTCATTTGTACTTTTCATCAGGAAGGGATGTATCCAAATTAAATCACTATAGCTATGCTATAACTGTATATAACACTATGCTATAACTGTATATAACACTCACAGAAGGCGGTACCTTAACCTAAACCAGAACACCGGATTGGTCAATTGTTATTCCTCTTACAATGGCATTATTTCATATATACTTGTATATCAAGAGAACCAGTAGTGAGATCAGTTGATCATGAGACTAGATCCTTGTATTCCAGATTCTAGAGACTATGCTGTACCTGACATTACCAAGTCTGCACTGGTTGTCAATCTGCCGCCACGACCTCCACGACCTCCGATGTTACTTCCTGCCATGAATGGCAGTCTTGACAAACCTCCCAACTATGACGCTCTCTATGCTGCAGCTGATATTGTCAATGTCCACGGCCCCAACATTCCAAGTTTACAAGGCGTCAGTGGAAACAACGTCTACGCAGTACCAAATGCTGACCTTCTTTTAAGCATTGACTATTCTGTGATGGAATTCCCAAGAGAAAATCTCCGCTTTGTGGAGGTGCTTGGGGAAGGACAATTTGGTGAGGTAAATGACAAACTTTGTTCAAACAAATTGGCGAAAATGGGTAGAAATTAACGGTAACTAGCCACCAGAAGAAATGGTAACTCGATACTTTGTTCTGTTGAATATTGTAGAGATTCCAAGATAAAATAGGTTCTCAGTACCTCCATGTTTGGCACCAGGTTCTCGTTCCACAAAACGTCAATCGTAACCTCTGTTCTATAAATTATAGTCGTAACACTGAGATCCTTTTGTGGAAAGGAGCCCTGGCCATGATGGAGCATAAAATGTTTGTATTGGCATGACCTCTGTAAAAGACAGCTGTCAATACTTGTCTGCATTAAAGTGTGAATCGATGCTCATGCTATCAACCACTGGTTTGTCACATCTAGTATCAAGTTCGCAACAGATCTCCATTCTACAGCTAGAATTTTCTTATGTAGTGAATTCCCAATAATTCACTCACTCTCAAAGTAGAAAGAACAGAAAAAGATGATTTTGTTTTTTCACGTGTTTTGCATCATTATAATAGAGTGTATATTTATAATGGCACAAAATCCATACTAAAGCATGCTCAATGACTGCTTTATTATCCCAGTCAAGGGATTAGTGTGCATTCAATTTTCGTTCTCAGCTCCCTGGGGAGTATACATTCCAAGCTGCTTGTGAGGCGTTAACAGATTAACAGTCTCGTTACCATAAAATTCAACCAGGTACCATTCACTGCTGAGTTAACAGAGGCTGAACATGGCTGTTGTATGATTTCCATGATACCTAACTGTCCTTGGTTCTGACTCTAGGTCCATTTATGTGAGGCTCTGCGTATCAACGACATCCTTGGTGATGACTACACCATGAGCAGGAACAACCCAAGGTCGATGCTGGTAGCGGTGAAGATGCTGAGGCCGAATGCTGATGACAGGGCCAGGTAGGGCATGAACTGCAAGTCTCACAGTTTGAAAGGGGGCGGTTGGGTAGCCTAGTGGTTAAAGCGTTCACTCGTAGTGAAGATCTGGGTTCGAAGTTGCATGTTTCTATCCAAATATTTACATCCAGTCTACTGCTGCCCCATCCTGCTGACATGATCTTTCTATTGCAGATCTGACTTCCACAAAGAGATTAAGATAATGTCGCAGCTGAAAGACCCCAATATAGTGCATGTACTGGGTGTGTGTACACGAGAAGAACCACTCTGTATGATTGTAGAATACATGAAATATGGCGACCTCAACCAATTCCTTATTGATCATGTTCCTGAAAGTCCAGTTGCCGAGGCAACCAATGCCAAGACACTCAGGTAAGGGGTTCACAGTGAAGTTACGAGTCTGTGATCCGTTCTGGAAAAATGATTAAGTTTTTCGTTTCTTATGTTTACGTGACATACAATTGCAGTTCCTGTATGAGGTGCTGTCCTATGTTGGTTTTATCTCCCACACATTTATGACAGTCATTAGGGACCTGGGTGCCATTGTACAAACCGATCTTAGGGCTAAGGTGATCGTAACTCCCATACCTTAACATGGACTTACGACAGTCATAGTGCTAAGGTTGTTTTGTACAATCACTGCAATGGCACCCTGGCAAAAGCTATTTAGATAAACGTACAAAACAATCTGATCCTGCATACACTGAAGTTGACAAGAGCTTTATCTTTACTCAAACATATAAAAGTCAGAAGGAATGCGTACATAGTCAGAAAGAAATGTGATCATTACGACTTGTGTGTAACCATGGAGTTTTATTTTTTATTGCCATTAAGCAAAATTTCACGTGACTCTCCAGGGTGTCCAGATATTCCTGTGGGTCTGCGGATCCGACTCAGGACCAACCAGGGACTACTTGCACAAAGCGATCTTAGCGCTAAGATGATCGTAACGCCCATACTTTAACATAGGCTTACAATAGTCGTAGTGCTAAGATCGCTTTGTGCAAGTGGGTCCAGATCTGAATCCCCAAGTTACCCATACCAGCTACACAAAACTCGGACACTGCTACCTTCTTTTGTCCAATCTTGACATCATTCTATCCAATTTTAACCGTGTTTTCTGATTCGTTTCAGCTATGGCTGCTTGATCTTCATTTCATCTCAAATCGCCTCTGGCATGAAGTACCTGGAATCTCTGAACATGGTGCATCGAGACCTGGCCACACGAAACTGCCTTGTTGGGACGAACTACACAATAAAAATCTCTGACTTTGGCATGAGCAGATCTCTGTACAGTGCTGACTATTACAGGATTGAGGGCAGGGCAGTGCTGCCAATACGCTGGATGGCTTGGGAAAGCATTCTCCTGGTAAGGCACATGGCTGTATGTCTGTGTGAGACAACGTACTGTGCAGGGGTAGAAACTCATTTTGTTACCAAGTCCTTGTGATGACATATGCTGGTGTGGCAGTTTCTGCTCAAAGGCTCTTTTGATCCATGTCATACCTTATGTTAAGGCATGTTAGACTTTGGAATATCTACACTCACTTCACAAACTGACCGTTGTAGTTTGACTTTGTGAAACCATGGTATACTTGTACACTCACTCACTCACTCACTCACTCACTCACTCACTCACTCACTCACTCACTCACTCACTCACTCACCTTACAAACTGATCACTGTAGTTTGACTTGGGGGACACTATGAAGTAAATCTACACTCACTCACTCACTCCACAAACTATTTCCTTGAGGTTTCCTGCTTTTAATATTATAATGTAAGGGCCCTAATTCATTATTTCAACATAATGGCTAGTCCAAGGTCACCTTGACCTTCATCAGGGTTTCAGATCAGTTCAATTTCTACAGACAGTGACTGATTGTCATCCAAAATGTCAAATCTGTTCATGTCATAGAGGGGCGGTCTGGTAGCCTAGTGGTTAAAGCGTCGCTTGTCACGCCAAAGACCCGGGTTCGATTCCCGACATGGGTACAATGTGTGAAGCCCATAGAAGAATGTTCTATCATAAGTTGATAAAGCATAAAATTATCCTATTGCCTAATTCGATCACTGCTTGTTGTTTACTTTGTGACCCTGCTAACTGTTTACATTCCTTTCTATCACAGGGAAAGTTCACATCAAAGAGCGATGTGTGGTCATTTGCTGTGACACTATGGGAAGTCCTTACATTTGCCAAGGACCAACCATTTGATGTACTGACTGACGAGCAAGTTATTGAAAATGCTGGCCATTACTACCGGAACGATAACCTTCAGGTGTATTTGCCACAACCTCCAAACTGTCCAAAAGAAATTTATGATCTAATGCGAGAGTGCTGGAACCGTCAGGAAAGTGAGCGCCCCTCCTTCAGGGAAATCCATATGTTCCTCCAGAGGAAAAACATGGGCTACAATCCAAAAGACGAAAAACTCAGCCAAATAACTGTACCAGTATGTTGATGTCCCAGAATTCCTGTGACAGGAAGTGTGTGGTCCGCGCGACGAGCTAGTCAGACAGAAACACATATCACATGACTTTGAGAGAGATCAAGTCCTGTTCTCGTTGCCATACTCCATGGTTGTGCACTTGCTTCCCTTCCTGAGCTGGAGAGCTCCAATCAAGGGAGGCAACAGCCTTTAGGGTGCTATAATTTTCAGAGTGTGAATAACTGTGTCGTTTGTGAAACCAAAGGTGTATAAGGTACACTGTGAACAAAGATGGCCGTGGTACAATGTATAGTATCCATGGTTACGGAGAACTCAGTGTGGCTATTTTTTGACATTAGTGAAACATGTGTAGCAATGTAGCCAGCCCTGGGACTAAGTCACAAGATGAGTGCAGGGGTAGATTCATTATTTTGTGTTTGAAGGGCGACTTTGGAAGAGAATACCGATGAACAATGGTTGTTACAGTGTGATTGGATTGACTCACTCCAAGGGGTCAAATCAGACCTATGATTTCACAAAATGATTACACTGCTCAAAAGTGACAAAATACGGTTACAATGGACAAGATTCCATGACCTTTTTAATTCATGTGTTTGCTAGGACACAAGATATATGTCCCATTCTTGGAAGACTTGTATTTTCATTTCAAGATTCTGTTCGTAGAGCAGTGTGTTTAGATAATCTTCGACAAGATACTTGAGGATTTCTACGCGTCCCTGTTGGATAGTTTGGGAGACAATGAAATACAACTCAAGTTTGTCGGACGTCTACACAGAATCCCAAAGACAATTCAAGCCATGATATAGTATATAAAATACTTGTACGGGACACTTCATCCCTCTATCAGCATGTTAGAGGGGAGTGTATAGAATTTTGTACTTATTTTTGTTTAAATACATGTAAAATCATGTCAAGAGAAACTATTATAGCCATGCTTTAGTCTGAGACTCAAACATATTAGGCTGTCTCTCCTCATTCATTCAATCTTCCAGAAATCAGAAGCATCACTCAATTTGGTTTACCTAAATATGAAATATTTATTAACAAATATTTTATACCTTCTATTCTGAAAGAACATAGGGTTATTAATCAAGGATTTAAATGTATAATGATAGCTCAGTGCCTGTGATTAAAGAAGATGATTCATGTTAATATACCTGTAGATACTGGAAATCATTCCACAAGTTTGACAAACCATTTTGCACCCTTAGCCTGTTCTGTAGGTCACATTATTTATTCTAATTGTAAATCTTGACATGAAACGTAGAAATGATACAACCCAGATGTTTTCTGACCGACAAGATAACAACTAGTCTATGAATATTTTAATACTTACCGTATTCAACGGAATAAGCGCCCCGCCCACGGCGATATTTGCTAATATATTGGCAAGTGAAGAAACCCAATTAGAACCCCTTCCAACTGATCAATGTACACAAGACTTATTTATTCGCGTATAATACACACTCGTGTGTTATATGCACCCTTAATTATGGGCAATTTAATTCTGGAAAAATATATCTGTCGTACATAAACATTTCAGGCTGTCAGCATAAGCCACGAAATTTATCTTTCAACTCTGTTTTTTTCACCAAAATAATATTCTGATAACAGCCCCCTATTCCTAATTTTGAGAGCGCCCTGGGCGCTTATTACGTCGAATACGGTAACCTGATTTGTCAGTTTATGTATTTACGTTTGAAGCTAATACTGTACATGACTTCAGTTTCATTATGTTATGACATTATGCTTAAGAGCTGTATGATATTTTATAATATGTATATATGGCTATCCGTCACTGGTCATGTCCCCTCTTGTATGTGGAGTTTTGGTAGTGCTTGTTTGTAACTGGGAGGAGAAACAGTGATATTATAAATCTTGCTACATTAATAATTCCATTTTCTCAAATTTTCCAAAGATGGCGTAGATTTTAGAATTGTGTTTTTGCTTAGAATGATAGATCTATCTTGTTAGCAAGAGAATGGATAAGTTATTTAGGCCATTTTATGATGGATGAATTACACATACTGGTGGTACTCCATTGTAGGATGATTTCATGTCAGATGACAAATATATTAAAGCAAGTGGGGAGTGGTGACTTACTACATCCAGCCCATAACATACGAGGGTACAATTCAGATATATTCAGCATTCGGACAAGTTGTAATTCTGAAAATGTTGACATACAGGGCAAGACATTTAGGTTAAATCTGAAGCCATGTGATGGAGATTTAAGAAAATTTAGAATTAAAGAAACATGTCACATATTCGTTATGTTTGGTTGGGCCACACTTCTTATGTCCTTAGTTGACAGATGTGTTTTTGTTGAAAACAGGTTATGTAGCTTAGATAAGATCTTTCATCATTTGACAAATTGATAGCTTAATGATTTCATTTAATACTAGATTGGCATTTATTTTTTAAATGTCAAAATATTTATAATTAAAATTATTTTTTGTCATTTTCAGATTTTTTTTGTCATTGTTTTTATATTTGAAATTGGTGAGCCAGCGAATCTGAAACTAAGATTTACAAATGTGTACGGCCTTGTTTGAAGACATGATCTCAAGCAGGTTATCAAAACGGACACTTAAGATACTATCTCAGAGCATGACATCAGGAACCACTCAAGATATCTTTGAACTTTTCTATATATATATGCTTGGAGCTTTAATTACTATTTTATTCTTGTATTCTTTTTCATTTTTGTGTGTTTGGAAATGGCAAATAAACACTTTAGCACATAAATATAACCATTGTGCCAAAATCATATGCTTGACAATGATCATTTAATCGACATGACAACTTTGCCAAGGTTGGACAGACACTCACTTCTCTTTTGTTATATACTGTTACAGCATTCGGACTTTGTGTCACCATCATTTCGTAGTTTTGTATCAATGTCTTGTGTGTCGAAAATGTCAGCTGTATTCTCTCTCAACCAAATGAAGACCACTGTTCTGGAACTAGAGTAATCTCAGATATTTCGTTTGAATTGAGAAGAATCAAGTTAAAGGACAATTATGATCATCATTCAAAGTAATATACCATATTCGACGTAATAAGCGCCCCGCTCTAATAAGCGCCCACGGCGACATTTGCTAAGATATTGGCTAGTGAACAATCCCAATTAGCACCCCTTCCGATTGATCAATGTACACAAGACTTATTTATTCACGTATAATACGCACTCTTGTGTTATATACACCCTTAATTATTGGCATTTAATTCTGGAAAAATATATCTGTCGTACATAAACATTTCAGGCTGTCAGCATAAACCACAAAATTTATCTTTCAACTCTGTTTTTTTTCACCAAAATAACATTCTAATAAGAGCCCCCTATTTCTAATTTTGAGAGCGCCCTGGGCGCTTATTACGTCGAATACGGTACATTCATTCTAATTCAAGTGGAATTGATTTTAGTCATTGTTTGTGTTGTCAGTGTTATTTTCATAAAGATTGAATCCAATTCATAAATACTACTGAAAAGAAGTTAAAGAATGCTTGCTTTTTCCAGATGACTATTGTTAATCTGTCATGTGAAAAAAATACTATGTCCTTAACTTCTTTTAAGTAGTATATATGGTATGTAGTAAATATTCGAGAACTTGAAACAAAATTATGGGAATAGCGTATTGAAGGAGAAATATTACATTGTTTATTGGGCAGAGGTGTTTTCCTGCTGAGTAAGCCTGTATTTGACCATTGTTATTGTGATCAGAACCACACAGATGGACACAGATTAGAGGGAATTGAATGGCCGCATGAGATGTCACATGTACATACGTGTTAAAGGGAAACTCCACCAGGCGGTTATCCTGGGGGCTGTTATCACTTCCAGGCATATGTTATCTACAGCATGAGCTGAAACCAAGCACTGCTGATATGTTTTGTATATGCAGCTCCCCATTCTCTCATGGGACAGCTCTGTTAGCTGCATGTTTCAATAGAGCAAGCTGTGTGGACAAACTATACCACTCAAAAAAAGTTAAGGATCACCTTTTTTCACATCAGTATAGTTAATCTGCCATGGCAATAACTATAGTAAGATGAAAGAATCGAGTGATCCTTAACATTTTTTTATTAGTATATTAGCCCAAGGTAGGCCGGACATCTTTATTAGGATATAGTATCAGGAAGAGGAGGCACTAGGGACATTTCAGTTGTGAGTTTTATGGAAGATAGTACGTCACAGGGTTTCTTTGTTCCAATTAATTATAAGTCACTGGTCATTGGTCATGTGATTTCTAACAGCCAATAGGGTTTTATGGCTAACATGATGCTCTGTGTAAAAGATTGCACTGAATGAGATGCCTGCCACACCTGCTAGTGGAATTAGGCGCAACACCAAAACTGTGTTTAACATTCATTGGTTGTGATGCTCTTAATTCATGTCTTCATCCTAGGACTCTGTTCGCTTCAGAGATGTACTGCTATGCAACCAGTTTCATCATCAGCACACTGACGCAAATGTCTGTTTTGTTAGCTGAAGCTTCTGACGTTAAGCGTTTTGCGTTCTTCTTTTGGCTTTCTTTGAGCTGTTACTACATATTCTTACCGACATCCCATCAATATGCCATTCTTGAAAAAACATCCTTTGTGACACTATTTAAAGCCTTTTTTTATGTTGTGTGCAAATGGAATTACTTTTGAACTTTGTTGAGAATGTCATTTTATTAAGTCCTTACATAGCTGCAGTCAAATTTAAGTCATTACCTCAAATATAATTTTTATCCTACTGCTTTAAAACATTTTTCTATGATGAACTATACTACTCAGAAAAGTTAAGTCAAATTTAAGTCATTACCTCAAACATAATTTTTATCCTACTGCTTCAAAACATTTTTCTATGATGAACTATACTACTCAAAAAGGTTAAGGATCACTTGATTCTTTTACATTACTATAGTTAATCTGTCATGCCATGACATTCAAACTATAGCAATATGAAAAAATCGGTTTGTTCTTAACCTTTTTTTAGTAGTATATTTAATTTCTGTTACTTTCTTATTATTCGCATTATTCTGTTATCAAATAAACAAGACAAAGGTCATGTGGATAGACAAGAAGTGTTTACAAGCTGAACATCTTTGGAGCAAACAGACTCGGGTTTCGTCAGACTAACACAAATTAGGCATAATATCAATGTCTTACCATATATTTTTCTATATGGATAAATACATCTGTACAAATTATACTACAATTTTGACCCTTTTTCAAATCCATAGAAAAAGGGTGCATTACCTCCCCATGTTGTCTATTGTGTACAGATATTCCGTAAATCCTCGAATAGTGTCTCAACGTCTATTTGGAGATGTATGGTAGTTGGTGTTGTCTTGTTCTAGACCATTGACCCACAGGTAGTCATGACCTAGTTCACAACTGTAACAGATAGTGCGCAGTCCACACGGTGGTAAATGGTATTACCTTTTGCAAGCATAATCGGACATTATCTCCATCAAACTGACGACATTTTCATGTGTTTTGATATTGTGCAAATGTCTATCTCTCCTGGAACAGCTCAACATGGCCATACCTTCAGTTCCAACTAAGTGTTGTGGACCTAGGTGGTGGAATTATTTCTGACAAGAATTATATATTTTGACCTGAGAAATGTTAGTAATTTGTTTGCCAGATATTAGTGTCATTTGCTTCTCATTGTTTAGATGCTGCTTAGCAACAACCTTTCTAGGGTATTTTGTCTCTTAAAAAAGTCCAAAAGCTGTACAACATATTACACAGAAGTTGTGATGAGGGAGAGGTCAGTGTTCAGACACTTGTTCAAACCCAAGATGATGTTCCTAGACTTGTTGACATATGGGTTTGTCTGAGCCAGACTAAACTCATGGTTCCACTCAAGGTCGTTCCAGAGTTCAAGCGTATGTTGACCTGCTGAAAGATTGCTGAATAATATTCCTAGGCTTGTTGACATTTGTGGTTTATCTGAGCCAGACTTCACCATGGTTCCACTCGTGGTCGTTCCAGGAGTCAAGCGTACGTTGACCTGCTGAAAGACTGCAGCATAATGTTCCTCGATTTGTTGACATTTGTGGTTTGTCTGAGCCAGACGAAATCCAGGATTCCACTCAAGGCTGAATAGGGGTTCAAACTCTGCTTCCTCACTCACTGATTGCTCTGGAGAGTATGTTGTATAGTATATATGTTTGTAGAAAGAACTAACCAGTGTGATATTTTGTTATGGCACTGTAGGGTGTGGTTGTCTTCTGTGGGTGGAGATACAACCAATACAAGGTAGACAACTCTTATCATTACAACGATGACCACAACATCCCCGATTCATAATGCTCATTATAGATAACATTATGGTATACCTTGACTGTACCTGATCGAATTGTTGGTGTATATTCTATAAAGTAGTCCTGTAAGTACCAAATGATCAGTTCACCTCTGTGTAAAGTTTCGTATTTGCACTTTGTTAGCTCTTGCAACACATCTCCCCTAAGTGTATTGTGTTACCACATGCATGTAGTACAGAATATTGAACTACAATCTTTTTCACGTTTCATTTCGTCTTCTCATAAATGTATATTGATACCAATCAAAGTTGCTGTTCACGAGTATTTGATTTTTACGATATTTAAATGTTAACCGAACTACGAGTATATGTTGTTTTCTGAAACAAGACTTCCACACATTTTTCAATATTAATGTTCGATAATGGTTTTACTGACATCAAGTTGACTGAATTCTGTTCCAGTTGATTCATTCATAAATCTCTCTTGAATCTCACCAGTATTAGTTTATTTGTTGACAGTTTTAGTTCCATTACTATACCCGATCTAAGTCTTTATTTGTAGTCCTGACAATTCTGTTGATACCTAATTTATTTCTTGATTATATCTTTATATTTCTGAGTGTTCGTCTCACAGATGATATTCAATGGTGTTGAATAAATACCAATACAATATGGCTGACTTGACAAGAACTCAGACCTGGCTTTTCTATTTAACGTGTCGCAGATGGTATGGGTGCAGAAGTTACTCTCTAGGGAGCTTGCTGTATGTCCTCTGAATCTATTGTATGACTGAGGCACTTTTCCGTTCTGAATTCACTATTTGATACATTGTGTCTCTCCTAAATGATCGTCACGAACTAGAGATAATTACCGTCGTCAGATTTCTTGTCAAGTGGCTAGTCCTGATTGTAAATGCCCATCTGGTATATTTAGCTGCATGTGTTGTTATAGAGGAAGGGCCTTCTACACAGGCACGGAGGATGTAACTTTTAATGTATGTTTATTTGCTGAAACATGAAAGAGACGCGCTTCATTCTTTATCTGTAAATAAAAGCGCATTGTCAAAATACTATTGTGAGTTTGGGTTTTTGTTTTAATCAGCATGACAGATTTTTACAAATTAATGACAATGGAAGAATGTAACTGATATTGCCTCAACCTTATAGGCATGAGAGAGATCCCCTGGAGAAAAAACAAACCAAGAACCATGTAAGTATCTTGCAACACAGAGCATCTCTACAGACTTAATCAATGTTGCAAAACATTATTAAAAGTCCAGGAAGCTCTGAACAGACTTAATCAATGTTGCAAAACATTATTAAAAGTCCAGGAAGCTCTGAACAGACTTAATCAATGTTGCAGAAAATCATTGAAAGTCCAGGAAGCTCTCTACAAACTTAATCAACGTGCAGAACATAATTAAAAGTCCAGGAAGCTCTCTACAGACTTGGTCAATGTTGCAGAACATAATTAAAAGTCCAGGAAGATCTCTACAGACTTAGTCAATGTTGCAGAACATAATTAAAAGTCCAGGATGTTGCAGAACATTATTACATGTCCAGGAAGCTCTCTACAGACTTAATCAATGTTACAGAACATTATTACATGTCCAGGAAGCTCTCTACAAACTTAATCAATGTTGCAGAACATCATTTAATGTCCAGGAAGCTCTCTTCAGACTTAATCAATGTTCCTGAACGCCATTTATAGTACTGGAAGCTCTTTACAGACTTAACAAATGTCCAGAACATACAGAAAATACACATAAAACCCCAACGCCAGAGAATTTAAGTCGGGATTATCTGCCAAACAGATCCCTTTGGGCGTAACAGACAACATTGCGGTGACATTTTTAGGAATGGATCACTGAAAACCAGTGATGACACCAGGTATTCATGAAAAGGGCAAGTATGTCCTGCCTTTCCGGTAGAACCCGACACTCGCACGATCTGCACAAAATTGAACATCATAAGAAATCCTGTAAGGATCATAATTTGAATGGCACAGGGATAATACAAATGAGAGATTCCTATTTGTGCAACCTTGAAAGACAATAAGGAAGCCGCATTCAGCAATATTCCAGCCATGTGACGGCGGTCTGTAAATAATCGAGTCTGGGCCAGACAATCCAGAGATTGACATCATGAGCATCCATCCACGCAATTGAGATACGATGACATGCATCAACCAAATCAGCGAGCCTGGCCATCCGATACCGTGAGTCGCCTCTTACCGCAAGCATAAATTGCTGAAGACCTATTCTAACCCCGATCTTCACAGGTATGTAACCATTATGAAAAACGCATGGACATTGAGATACTTTACAGGTACAAATACACTTGCATATAGTGGAAGAAAATCAACATACATTGCATGCCACACAGCCATGTTATCATCATGATTTTGCCACCTTGAGCCAACGTTCTGATCCACTTCAGATCATCTCCATCTCCAGCTAAATCACACACTATTTTGCACAATAGTTTATAAACAATTAGTCCCATGGATACAGTTTGAATATTATCATGTACAATGAACCAACATTTCTATCAAAGTTTCTCCAAAAGAAAAAGGGCTGACGACACTAAATTTACAAGATGCCACCTTCCTTGATAATGGTGTTTGTTTGTTTGTTTGTTTGTTATAAAGCTGGGGACAGACATAGAGTGACTATGGAAACGTATTAGTGCAACAGTCTAAAATATCTTTATTTAGATGATACTTTCATCTCCGTATGTGATATTATAATCATACGTATCGCTACTCAGACAGTGATATTGTCTGAAAGCAACATTCATCTACGTAGCCTGTGGCACTTATACGCTTCCATAAGTGACGGTTGGTTGTAATTCCGAAGATTTATTTCACATGACTCACCGACAAAGGAAACGTACCACACGTTTGTGAGTGAGTGAGTATGGTTTTACGCCGCTTTTAGCAATATTCCAGCAATATCACGACGGGGGACACCAGAAATGGGCTTCACACATTGTACCAATGTGGGGAATCGAACCCGGGCCTACGTCGTGACGAGCGGACGCTTTAACAACTAGCCCCACCGCCCCATACATGTTGGTTAAAATATGAAGAATTACTCATTTACAAAAGATTGGTTCGATGCGCGACCGAACATACGTTGGTCTGTTATGTTGTGTGAACCAACGCTCATGAACGCATCACGTGTGACGTCATAGATCCATGACTTGAGATGCACCATTTGTCTCGTGCAGGATTAGCGTGTTAAGTTTGGAAATTACGTGCAGCATATCGTGATAAGAATAAAGTCACTCTGTGATGACACTTGACTGATTGTTAGTTTTGTCATTAAGTGGTACACATTGGAAACATCTCTTCATAGCGTACATAGGGCGGTCGGGGAGCCTAGTGGTTAAAGCGTTCGCTCGTCACGCCGAAGACCCGGGTTCCGTTCCAGACATGGGTTCAATGTGTGAAGCCCATTTCTGGTATCCCCCGCCGTGATATTGCTGGAATATTGCTAAAAGCGGCGTAAAATCATACACACACTCTCACTCTTAACGTACATACTTTTGGCGGTTAAAATATTATGAGTGAAGTAACCAGTTGAATTAAAAACTGTTATATTGTCTGCTATTACTGAATTAAAGGTCCGTCTTTGACGTTCATATCACTGAACGCGGCCTATAAAACCCAACTCACTCATCGGTTTTATAGTAAAGTGATTTCTCTACCTAGATTATTGAACTTATATAGCGACGTATATGCACGTGTATGTTTGTGGCTGCTTGTTTTAGTCCGGGCTGATGCCGATTTTATAGTGCTAGCCCACTGAGATACCATGCCGCAGTTTCACATGAATACCCCACTCAGACACAGTATACTGACTCAGAGCCGATCAGTCATTGTTTTAGCCCATTAATGCCGATCGCCAGGCAGGTTAACAATAAGTACTATCTCTTAACGTCCTTTGGTATGATGCGGCCTGGGGTCGAACCCCGGACCTTCCGCTCTCAAGGCGGACGCTCTACCACTAGACCACGCAAGCGGTCTGCAGAGGAGAGTATTGGTCAATTTAAAGTATGTTAAGAAACTTGATGAAATTGACTGAGAGAATTTATTACAAGACAGAGATTTTGAACGTTTGGGCTTTTATATCCTACAGTGACGTTTTATCCTTTGCGTCAATATAAACATGAATGCAAACAAGTAACGCTGTAACATGTAAATCTGTGTCTGATGTTGTCTTCCGTCAGACAAGCAGGCCTGGGTCCGGTTGTCCAGAACTTGATTATTTTAACCTCACTAACCGTTACATATAATCAACATAACCACTTGATTAAATTTAACGGAAAGTTAACACTGACTTAACGGCTGGTTAAGAGTTAACCAGGTTTTAAACAACCGAGCCATGTGCAATATATCTGAAACAGAGATATCACAAATATCCTCAAAACCTGATGCAACAAGCGAACACAACCGTAAAGATCCGGGTTAGATCCGGTTGCCTAGGTCGATGCTCATAATGTCAATCACTGGATTGTCTGGTCCAGACTTGGCTATTTACAGATCGCTGTCATATAGCTGGAATATTGCTGAGTGCCACAACAAACAAACAAGCGAGCGTAACAAGATCGGACCAACTCATTAACGACAATTTTTGCAGTGGTAGCCGGCCCCATGTACATTTAACTAAAGATCATGGAACTATAACAAATAACTGAAAGGAGAACACACTATAGTATTTTTGAAACTTTAATTTATTTTTGTTGACGATTTCGTAGTAGCCATGCCACGATTAGAGAACGTTACCGTCTTCACCATCGTTAATTTTAAGAACGCCGTGATATGATAAAGGCTTACAAAATTAAAAAAAGTTATTCCAAGTATATGATATGTAAGCCATTCTCTGTCATATTCATAAAATGAAAATACAGAATATAATTCTTCAATTAACATGAAAGTAAATTGGAAGATTTTATGAACGCCAATATCAGTATTTTACTGTCCCTTTCTTCAATAAAACAAAACGCGGTGCCCTCCCTTCCCGGAAGTATATAACGGCTCCTTGTAGGGTCTTTCTGCTGCTATTTATGCTCATAGTGGCAACAATTGCAGTGTTGCGAGTTTGTGAAGCTTTACTCGTAAACAAAAACCATGTTGACTTGGAACAACGACAAGGAGACGATTTCAATGCTTATGCGGAAATAATACGGGTATTGTAAATGACAGCATGCTCTTGTACCAGGGTTTTTCAGAGCATGACTTTTAGGACACGTATGCAATCAGAATGACAATTACTTTATATGCTTCCTTGTAATATTAACCGGCGAACTGTTGCTGGCTCTTGCCTGGCCCGGGTCTGCGTTTTGTGTAAAGCGAAAGTAAGTCTTCCTGTGAGGCGCTAAGTTACCCTCTCATCCTACTGGAGAGCCTGTCACTGCTGGGCGAACAGGGGCGTATAACAGTGTTTCCGGTAAAGAGAACTCCGGTGTATACTGAATGTTGACCGGTTTAGTGAGGCACCTAACACACAAACTCAGCGATCTAAACCACTCAGCCACAAAAATGAAAGTCCGACAACTTGTAGTCTAGATCACATACTTTGTATACCCCTCTGACAATTAGGTGCCTCACTCTGTCAGTGTGGGTTCTAATGGTGCACAGGACTCAACCCAAAAAAGTATGAGAATCAGTACTTTACTAGGAAAGTGTTATCCCAAATATAACGTTACATATGACATGTTTGACCACTGTGTGCATTGTGTGTTCATACATAAAATATGGTAATGCATTACATATTGTATGTTTCAGCTTCTAGATGGGACCGAAAAGGAAACGCTTTGATTCTTATAATACTCTCTCTCATCAACTAGATCCAAGTTCAAAGGATAAGGTAGAGAAAATATTCAAAAAAAAGTTCAGCTATTCTACTCTCAGACACAAGACCCTGAGACTACGTTGTCAAGGTAATAAACAGACACAGGGGAAGCAAGGTGACGAGGGAAGGAAGTTAATGGTCAGCGATGACAAGTCCAAGACGGAACACCAGGAAACCTGTGAAGCGTCGATGCAGAAACCAGCGGATCTTGAAGATAATGAAGAGCTCTGCTGGAAAGTACAGGATCTCATCTCCCTGAAGGAAGATCTCAATACACTGAAGGATGAGCTGAGTGATAAAGATGTTCTGGAGTGGCACAAGCACACCTGCTTCACCAACCTAGCAGGCGGAGTTGTACAAGAGCTGAAACAGGTGTTCCATGCAGAGCTGTGTACGCAGGCATGGGGCAAGTTTTTCGAGATTGTGTCCACCTTCACACTTGTCCCGCTGACGACAGAGGTGTTCAACTCTGTCCATTTGTGTGAAGCACCCGGGGCCTTCATTGCTGCTCTCAACCACTTCCTGATGTCTCAAGGTATTCTGGGAAATAGCAATGGCCTATGCATTTTCAGCTTAACATCATAGGATGTGAACTTCTAAGAGACCCTAGTGGGGATTCCAGGATAGAATTGATCTCCAGCAATGTATTCTGGTCAGACTTTGTGAATTGGTTGAATGCGTGTCATCATTCCCCAATGTCATGGATCATTGCTCTCAATATCAATCACTGTATTGTCTGGTCCTGACTCAATTATTTACAGGCTGCCGTCATGGAGGGGGAATATTGCTACAGTGTGGCGTTAAATTACAAACAAACAAACAAAACTTGGAGATGTCATATTTCTTTTTTCCATGACATGTCTGTTTGTTCAGATGTCCTTATCCATCTTCTCAGTGTAGAATAGGGACCCAGCACTCTATTACCATTTATAATGCAACCAAGAATAATAATATTTCAGAACTAATTACATGAGGCTTTTGGATCCTTGACCTTATGTGGTGAGGTGAGGTGATATGGGGTTGAATGTGGTTTTTTTTAAGATTATTGCACTTATGGTAAAGTGCATACAGGGCTGAGACTGGTACTCGGTTAGGTGGGTACTGAGTAGGACCTGGGTACCCACAGGACTACCCGGACTTGTGGTTAGTCACGTGATATATTGTTTAATGACAAAAGTTATCTGAAACTTCATGGCTAAACTACAAGTCACTAATGTTCGCATTTCTTTCTGACTATGCACACATTCCTTCTGACTTTTATATGTTTGAATAAAGATAAAACTTCAGTCAAATTCAGTGTATGCATGACCAGATCGTTCTAGATGTGTGTCTAAGTGCAAACTAGTTCCAACTAGTGTGTATGTGTGGCTGTTTGTACTAGCACAGACTAATGTCCGTTTTGTAGTTATAGCCCATTGAGATACCATGCCACAGTTCAACATAAATAAGGGGGCACGGGTGGCCCAGTCGTCTAAGGCGCTGCTATTCACTGCGTAGAGTTGTGTCCCTTGGGCATGCCAGAAACTTTTGATTGTGGGTTTGAATCCCGGTTCGGCCCTTTTATGTTTTAGGTTCGTCAGCACCATACCTGTGCTCGTGGGTTTCACCGAAGTGGTAAATGTCTGAGACCTGCATCACTTCGGGCTTGCCTCCCACATTAAGCCGACACGCCATGATATAACTGGAATACTGTTAAAAGCGGCGTTAAACCCAACTCACTCACTCACTCAACATAAATACCTACTCAGACACAGTATACTAACTCCGAGCCGATCAGTCCTTGTTTTAGCCCTTTAATGAAGACCGCCAGGCAGGGTAACAACAAGTACCATTTTTTAATGTCTTTTGTTAAGATGTGGCCAAGGATCGGACTACCGACCTTCTGCTCTCCATGCATATATGCTTTATCCACAAAGCCACAGAGGCTGACCTTGATGTTAGGTAATTTCAAACTCTCTTTACAGTTTGTACATGAGGCTTATTTACTGTGTACAGCTTTCTCTGGTACATGGTCGTGGCTGGGTACGACACTGAGTCCGTACTACGAGGGAAACAGCCTGGTCCAGATGATCGATGACGACAGGTTCATCAGGTCGACACTGGACAACTGGTACTTCGGGGAGGACGGGACAGGGAACATCATGGACTATGAGAACCTCCAGGGCCTGAAGGACAGAACACAACACATGGGAGATGTACAGCTGGTGAGTTACCATGGTGACAGGGTGTGTGAGTGAGTGGTGTCGCAGTCAGCAAGACCAAGGCCTGTCAGTAATGAGGGTCTTGATGGGGAGGTCACAAGTCATTCGTCAGTAATGAGGGTCTTGATGGGGAGGTCACAAGTCATTCGTCAGTAATGAGGGTCTTGATGGGGAGGTCACAAGTCATTCTCCAGTAATGAGGGTCCTGATGGGGGAGGTGACTGGTCAGCAGCAGTAATGAGGGTCTTGATCGGGAGGTCACAAGTCATTCGTCAGTAATGAGGGTCTTGATGGGGAGGTCACAAGTCATTTGTCAGTAATGAGGGTCTTGATGGGGAGGTCACAAGTCATTTGTCAGTAATGAGGGTCTTGATGGGGAGGTCACAAGTCATTCGCCAGTAATGAGGGTCTTGATGGGGAGGTCACAAGTCATTCGTCAGTAATGAGGGTCCTGATGGGGGAGGTGACTGGTCAGCAGCAGTAATGAGGGTCTTGATGGGGAGGTCACAAGTCATTCGTCAGTAATGAGGGTCTTGATGGGGAGGTCACAAGTCATTCGTCAGTAATGAGGGTCTTGATGGGGAGGTCACACGTCAGTAGTCAGAAATGAGGGTCTGTGGTCAAATCTCATGAGACTTAGATGTTATGGCCGCTGCAGTAGGATAGATTACCTTTGTTATCTTTGTCCCGTCTACACTGCTGTGAGGTTCTGTGTTTCAGGTGACGGCAGACGGCAGTATCGACTGTCAGAACACTCCGGCTGAACAGGAGGTGGTGGTGTCCCGTCTACACTACTGTGAGGTGCTTACAGCTCTTCACATCTTATCACCAGGTGGAGCTTTTGTGGTGAAACTCTTTACCATGTTCGAGTCCTCCACCGTGTGCCTTATGTATCTACTTTGTTCACAGTTTGAACAGGTAAGTCGACGTCACATTCTCACAATGATTTGTACTGACATCATATGAGCATGTGGCATCATCTCCAAACTAACACTGCCATGAAAACTGTTAATCCCTGCAGACTTTTACATTATAACACATGATCACCTCTCTCTGGGATGAGGTGGGGTAGTCTCAGATAATGGTTAAGGGATTGTTTGCAACGCCGAAAACTTCGGTTTGAATCCCCACATGGGTACAACATGTACAATGATTGAAGCCCAATTCTGGTGTCCCTGCCGTAATATTGCTGGAATATTGCTAAAAGCAGGGTAAAACGTTGCTGGCTCGCTCACTCACTCACTCACTCACTCACTCACTCACTCACTCACTCAGAGCTGGGATGTTGCTGGGGAACAGAGTTTAACCTCTGACTCTAAGCACATTGTCAGGTTAGCATGCTTAGGAAAACAAAACAACAGTCCATCTACTATCACTGTCTCCACTTCCTTGCTGCCTCACTTCTCCATGTGACCATGGTAAAAGAGACTGTGTGTTATAAGGGAGCTAATGGCACAGGTGACCCAGTCATCTAATTCACTGTGCAGAGTTACATCCCTTGGGCACACCAGGAACCAAGCTCCTTCCCAGCGCAATACACCTTCGTTACATTCTTGGAAACATCACTGCTACCAGTGTGGATGCAGCCATTACAAGAATCTTGAAAATTGCCCTCTAACCCCAAATGTTGATATGTTTACACTTTTGTTTGTCTTTGGGAATGCCTAGTGGTTAAAGCGTTCGCTCGTCACACCAAAGACCTGGGTTTGATTCCCAAAATAATGGGTACAATGTGTGAAGCCCATTCTGGTGTCCCCCGCCATGATATTGTTGGAATATTGGTAAAAGCGACGACTCACAGATTGGGTGATGCTCATGATGTCAATCACTGGATTGTCTGGTCCAGACTCAATCATTTACAGACCGCCATCATATAGCTGGAATATTGCTGAGTGCGGCGTTAAACAACAAACAAACAAACACAGATTGGGTGCCTCCAAAGTTGGGTAGAAGTTAGTTGTACATATACCGTATTATGCTACCCCAAAGCATTGTTGTTGGTGTGTTGCCCAATACTCTGAGGAAGATATGGTATAAGTAACTTACACCCCACTCGGGGCAGGTACACGTTTACATCTTTTTACTTATGATTTATGTATCATTGCTGACAAAAGTAACTGAAACATACATAAAATATTCACAGAAAGTCTTCCCTTAAAACATAAATGTTTGCCCTGTGTTTTTTCCACCACTCAGCCCTTGGCCCACTTGCACAAAGTGATCTTAGCGCTAAGATGATCGTAACATAGGCTTAACGCCCCGATATAACTGTAATACTGTTAAAAGCGGCGTTAAACCCAACTCACTCACTCACTAACCTAGGCTTACGATAATCTTAGCCCTGAGATGGCTTTGTGCATGTGGGCCCAGGTGTCAGAACAGTAATGTTTGTGATTTGACAAGCAGAAGATTCAGAGTTTATATCTGAGGCCGTCGTTTACAATCCTCTAGACTTGGTTCATGTCTGGAATTGTAGGAATTGATTTAGTTAGTCTGAACTATTGTTGTCATGTGAAAAGTGATTGCTTTATCAGCCTATATACCTATGGATAATGCAAATGGCAATCATGGCAATGATTGAGGTATAAGTAGTATTCCACCATGATACTGGAGGATGCTTCATTCTCATTGGTCAAAAGAGGATTAAAATCAGGCATGTAATTTCTGTTCAATACTTCAGAATTAACATGCCGTTTCACACAAAAACCTTGTTTATGAAAACAACAATCTTTCAATAGCATACACATTGATGCATACATGTATAACAATGGCTGCCGATAATTAGAATTGTAATTCTTTCAGTTTACAAGGTTTAAGAACAACAGCTTACCAAACATAGGCTAAACATGCTAAAGGACTCAGTTCAAAATTAAAATAAGAAGTATCTAATCTGCAGTTAGAGTACCTCAAATTTCAAAACATAATAGATTTGTCTTGTAATCATGCTAAGGCTTAAAAAATATAAGAATTGGTTCTCAGGCAATGGTTTTTGAAAATATAGTGCAGGCGGGCGGTGTCTTTTTTCTTTTCTTTTGGTTGTACAAATTAGTATGTAACCAATAAACAGTTGTGTAACCAATAAACAATTGTATACAATCAACCTGGGAAAGGACCTCCCTACATAAATGTATTCCTTGATGAGTAAAATACTGCAATACAGTATTTGACTACCATTGGACTAGGAATATTTAAGGATTTTTTGGTTGTTTTTTTAAAAATGGAAATAAAAACGAAACGTGCAGGGAACTTTATGATGATGCTGGCGGTGCCTGAGAACAAAGACTTTTATTTTTTTATCCTAATGGTATTGATTTTGTTCAGGTGAATGTGTTCAAGCCCCCGACCAGCAAGTCGGGTAACTCCGAGGTGTACACGGTCTGTCTGGGGTACAGGAAGCAGATGAAAGGTCATGCCCTCGAGACACTGTGTCGACATTTCTTCTGTGAGTATATTGGGAGGGAGCAACGGGTACTAGTTCAGCTCAGGTTTCAAATGATATCCACCCCGAGTCCCATTGGAAGCAAAAGTGTGTGGAGCTTGGATGATTCAATTGAAACCTATCAAGTTGATTTATCCGATTTTTCTATTCTGTTACAAAATTAAATCAATGACCGGACAGTCCATGTCAAATTTTTCTTTACTCAATCATTAAGTTTTAGTTGAAATACCGATGAAGTCATAATCATTCTTATTTTTAACATTTTTTTAAAAAACGAAAAAAATAAAAACAATCGAACCTTGAAGTTGTAACTGAAAGTGATATCCCTGCGCATGCACGCATGCACCCCAAACCCCACTCTCTCTCTTTGCAGATTAATAGTTTAATATTTCTATGCACATTTTCAGCTGAAACAGCCGCAGAAGAAATCCCAATATTTGAGAAAGCAGACATACCTTCTTCATTTCTGCAAGAACACATTGAATGTTGCCGATTCTTCACAAAGCATCAATCAGACACGATCCGCGGCAACCTTCACTTGTACGGGGACTTCTCGCCAGACCAGAGGACGAGGATGCAGGCCATGAAGGACTACTGCACGGAGCTGTTCGTCAACACCTACAACGTGAACACCATCCCCGGCTACATGAAGATCACACACCAATCACACAAGGTGGGTGAAACAGGGTCCACAGAGTCCAAAGCTGGTGTACGGATTAAGAAATGGAACCTAGCGAGTCTGCTTGACTCGATTGCTTTTGTGGTCTAGTGGTAGAGAGTCTGCCTTGAGAGTGGAAGGTCCGGTGTTCGATCCCCAGCAATTTTCCGGGTAAATGAAATCAGTCTTTAAATGGGTGCCCGGTAGGATGAGATGGCAATGTGGTTGTTAACTTTCTAGTGCCCAACAGGCAGCTTGGGTTGTATACTCCCCAGGGAGCTGAGAATGATTCTTGAGTGCACACTGATCCTGTGACAGGGGTATTAATAGCTCTTTGAGCATGAGTGGTGTGTAATATGTAGAATATAAAGACTTCTGTCGGAACATTGTTGAAAGTTTTTCGTTCCGTTGTTATCATGTTAAGATGTTAAGCTTTTATCATTCTCCTCCTTGATCTGTACGAAAGTTATAATGCTTCGTCATATGTTTTGTTTCAGAAGTATGCGTCCAAGTTTGAAATCATCTCTTCCTCTGGGAAACAGGGCAGTGCCTATGATAAGCCAGTCACTCAGCGTATACACTCGGGGTCGTTCAAGTGCCGGGTGGAGCAGAGTCAGTTGCCATGGAGACAGAGGGTGCAGCTATTGGAGAAGCTGGACTTAAAGGATGCCAGCTTGTCATTGGAGGTACGTGGAAATATTTGGTTTTGTTGGTGTAGAGATGGAATTCCCCTTAAATTTAACAGGTTGGGATACCCGAAATGCAAACATGCTTTTGAATGTCCGCGAAATTATGCAATAATGCTGCATGATAATATGTAATTTAAACTTCGTAACAGATTTTGCATCTCGTTTGCTTGATGATTACCACAGTTACAAGTGTTTTGCTGAATGGATGCAATTGCGATCTGGAATGGTGTTTGGCTTGAATTTGACTAAAAGTGTCTTGAGAAAAGTCTTGAAAAAGCCTTGTTAAGGCTTTGAATTAGTTGATGACAAATGTGGACCAACTCTGGGCATGTCATTCCTTGTTTTACAGTGCACAGACCCCCTACATCCAGCAGAAATAAACTACTGGACAGTCGGTAAAGGGAGGCCACTCTTGCGTGTTATTAGCTCACGGCTCTGTGATGGCTACCTCACCAAACAGATGAACACAGTCTTAGACAATGCACAGGTTAGCTACCATCAGATGAACAGTCTTACACCATACACAGGTTAGCTACCATCAGATGAACACAGTCTTAGACCATACACAGGTTAGCTACCATCAGATGAACACAGTCTTAGACAATGCACAGGTTAGCTACCATCAGATGAACAGTCTTAGACCATGTACAGGTTAGCTGCCATCAGATGAACACAGTCTTAGACAATGCACAGGTTAGCTACCATCAGATGAACAGTCTTACACCATACACAGGTTAGCTACCATCAGATGAACACAGTCTTAGACAATGCACAGGTTAGCTACCATCAGATGAACAGTCTTAGACCATGTACAGGTTAGCTGCCATCAGATGAACACAGTCTTAGACCATACACAGGTTAGCTACCATCAGATGAACAATCTTTGACCATGCACAGGTTAGCTACCATCAGATGAACAATCTTTGACCTTGTACAGGTTAGCTACCATCAGATGAACACAGTCTTAGACCATGTACAGGTTAGCTGCCATCAGATGAACAGTCTTAGAATATGCACAGGTTAGCTACCATCAATTGAACAGTCTTAGACCATGTACAGGTTAGCTACCATCAGATAAACAGTCTTAGACCATGCACAGGTTAGCTACCATCAGATGAACATTCTTAGACCATGTACAGGTTAGCTACCATCAGATGAACACAGTCTTAGACCATGTACAGGTTAGCTGCCATCAGATAAACAGTCTTAGAATATGCACAGGTTAGCTACCATCAGATGAACAGTCTTAGAATATGCACAGGTTAGCTACCATCAGATGAACAGTCTTAGACCATGCACAGGTTAGCTACCATCAGATGAACATTCTTAGACCATGTACAGGTTAGCTACCATCAGATGAACAGTCTTAGACCATGCACAGGTTAGCTACCATCAGATGAACAGTCTTAGACCATGTACAGGTTAGCTACCATCAGATGAACAGTCTTAGACCATGCACAGGTTAGCTACCATCCGATTAACAGTCTTAGACCATGCACAAGTTAGCTACCATCAGATGAACAGTCTTAGACCATGCACAGGTTAGCTACCATCAGATGAACAGTCTTAGACCATGCACAAGTTAGCTACCATCAGATAAACAGTCTTAGACCATGTACAGGTTAGCTACCACCAGATGAACAATCTTTGACCATGTACAGGTTAGCTTCCACCAGATGAACATTCTTAGACCATATACAGGTTAGCTACCACCAGATGAACAATTGTAGACCATGCACAGGTTAGCTACCATCAGATGATGTGGTGATTACTGGAAAAAGAGACTACAAAGTGTAGAAAAGATTCCATTGTTTGTTTCAGTTGACTTCAGACAGCGACCCTGGGGTTTGTTACAAGGAGGTGGCACGTGTCATCTCAGAGTTACTGTCGCAGCGCTGTGAGTCAATCAGTGCAAACAACCAACAGGTGGCACTGATGGTGGCAGATGACGACTTGCATCTCTACCTTCAAGAGCACCTGCCCTACAGGTGTAGCACCTTGGACAACATTGGTGACATGCACATCTCCGACAGTGGCAACGCTGTTGTTGTGCTGAGTGTCTGTGACGTCACCATGGAGACTGGTGGAGAGGAACTGGCTGTTCGCAGGAAATTCCTGTCAAGATTGATCCAAGTTCTCAAGGTGATTATGTTTTGACAGTGAATTTTGTTTCACCCTCAAGGTCACAATAGTACCCCAGTATGTGGATGAGACTATCAGGCTCCCCGACTGGGCTGATTGTGTGTCCTCTGCAGTCTTGTGGTGAAGTGTTTGCCCGGAGAGCAGAAGGTCGCGGGTTCGATCCCCGGCCTTGTCACATAAAAAAACGTTAAAAGATGGCACTTGTTGTTACCATGCCTGGCACTCGGCATTAAGGGGCTAAAACAAGCCCTGGTCGGCTAAGAGTCAGTATAATGTGTCTGAGTGGGGTTTTCAAGCCACACACACATGCACACACGCACACACACCACACACACCACACACACGCGCACGCACGCACGCACACGCACACACACACACACACACACACACACACACACACACACACACACACACACACACACACAAATAAAGATTGCTAGATCATGTTAAGGGTGTTTCTCTTTGAGGCCTATTGTGTTTGAGAAGAATGCTTCCTTGACAACTCATATTATATATTTCTGTTGCCCAGGTGATGCCTGAGGGTGGCCACCTTGTGCTGCACCTCCACACGTCGCTGACACTCTTCACCGCCGGCCTGCTCTACATCCTGGCACGCATGTTCTCTCAGGTAGACACCGGTCTGACAGCCAAAATCGGCTCTGTTGTGACAAGAAATTGTGTGTTGTATTGTATACCTGTCATGCTGCATCCCTTTTCATCCTGCCATCAGGGTACATCATGAAGTGACTCGTGAAGTTCCGGGGTTGAGTTGGTCTTCAGCAAACCATGCTTGTCATAAGAGGCGACTAAGGGGATCGAGTGGTCAGACTCGCCAACTTGGTTGATGCATGTCATTGTGTCTCAGTTGTAGATTGATGCTCATGAAGTCAATCACTGTAATGTCTGGACTCGATTTTTTATAGACTGGGGTCATTTAGCTGGAATATTGCTGAGTGCAGCATTGGATCAAACTCCCTCACTCACCCTGACAACCTGTAAAGATCCAGGTTAGAACTGGTCTTCAGCAACCCATACTTTTCATAAGAGGTGACTAATGGAATCAGGTGGTCAGGCTTCGTGACGTGGTTGATGCATGTCATCATATCCTAATTGCATAGATCAGTGCGCATGATGTCAATCACTGGATTGTCTGGTCCAGACTCAGTTATTTACAGACTGCTGTCATATAGTTGGAATATTGCTGAGTGCGGCTTTAAAAAACAAACAAACAAAACATCATGAAGTTTTTGATTGAACTGAGTTAGCAGAGATATTCATTTGAATGCACTATTACGAGTGGGCTGGAATCATTCATGACTCACAATACCATGAAACCTTGTTTACTTGCCCTCCTTCACATTGAAATCTAATTTAACTTTTATGGTCCCTGTTGAATAGACCCGTGAAGATCCGGGGTAGAATAGGTCTTCAGCAACCCATGCTTGCCGTAAAAGGCAACTATGCTTGTCGTAAAAGGCGACTAACGGGATCGGGTGGTCAGGCTCGCTGACTTGGTTGATGCATGTCATCGATCTCAATTGCATGGATCGATGCTCACGATATTAATCACTGGATTATCTGGTCCAGACTCGATTATTTACAGACCACCGTCATATAGCTGGAATATTGCTGAGTGTGGCGTAAAACAACAAACCAACCAACCAACCTGTTGAATATGATTTGTAACTAAGGCCTAATGATGTTTCTAAACACAGATTATGGATAACTTGATGTATATATGGTTTGCTCAGTTTGGAGGGTCACAAAGTTACACATTACATATGTTGTTGTTTTTTATTTATGTCTGGCAAGATACGCATGCCTTTTTGCAAACACCTTGTATCATCCCTATTGGATAATGATTCATAAACACATGCTTATGATATAGTCAGAATCATGCAGTGAGATTTTTTGTGATTATGGGAAAGTGTTTGTCGCTTTTATTTATGTAGATTTTGTTTGGATGGTTGTGAAGGGAGAAGTGAATAACCAGAGCACGATCCCACTCTTGTTCCAGGTGTCGATGTGTCCACAGTTGCCAGGTGTGTGGTTACAGCAGGTGCTGTACTTTGAGGGGTTTGGGGACCTGCATCCCAGTGTGTTGACGTACTTGGAGTCTGTTGATTCCCAGATGTCAGGTCACACCAGCCAGGACATGGAGGTGTTGGAGGTTCTTCCCAAAACCATCATCATTAATGGTAAGGAGGAAGCAGGATTCCATGTTAAAGTTTCTTTTAAATAATTTTGTATTTGATATTTACATGCTGATTGTGTAGGCAGATAATTGTTTATCATCCAAAACTGGCTCCCACAGGAGATATCGCTTGGGTGAGATCAAGTGATATCTACAGTATAGATAGCACTGCAGTGAAATTGTATCACAATGCTTTGCAGACCATTGTGACATCATTGGTTACCATGACATCAAATGTCATCACTTATGGCTCTGCTACTGAACCTCATAGCAGTACTTTTTACACTTCAGACACTGATAATTACTGTCTACAAACTGAAAAAGTTGGAAGAATGATGTTGAATGATAAATAAAATCTCACCCTTGTGTCTTTTGATATCAAATGTATCAACACTCGTTGATAAAAGTGGAAAAACACTGAGTCTTGGGTGAGATTCTCTATTTAACATGCATGCATGCTCCGAAACGACCAGTCCTTGTTAAGTCCCCTTAATGCCAAGTGCCAGGCAGGGTACCAACAAGAACCATTAACGTCTTTTGGTATGATTGGCCGGGGATCGAACCCCCAAACTTCTGCTCTCCGGGCGGATGCTCTACACCTAGAACATGAGGGCAGTCTAAAGTTTTATGAGGATAATGTGGTAAAGATTTGTTCATGACATGAAAATGAATAAATGTTAATTCAAGTTGTATAAAGCACAGCAAGTTGTGTCCCTTAGGTGTTCCAGAATCCTATGATCATGGGTTCCAATACAAGATTTGCCCTGTTGATTCTTGGTTCCTGAGCACTATACCCATGCTGAGTGGTATGACTTGTATCATAATATTTCTCACTCAATCGTTGATGGAAAATCTCTTTGTTTCAGATGTTGTCTTTACCAGATTCATGTTGAGTGTGAACAGAAGTTTCATAGGCAACTTTGTGAATGCTGTGATTGATGCAGAGAGAGCACGTCTATCAGATGGTGAATCAGAACCAAACACATCCAGCTGACAAGAAAAGGACACATCCATGCTGGAGACCTGACAAGATCTATCCCTTTCATTCCATCAAGCAGACGTGAACCAAACACATCCACCATCAAGCAGACATGAACCAAACACATCCACCATCAAGCAGACATGAACCAAACACATCAAGCAGACGTGAACCAAACACATCAAGCAGACATGAACCAAACACATCCACCATCAAGCAGACGTGAACTAAACACATCAAGCAGACATGAACCAAACACATCAAGCAGACATGAACCAAACACATCAAGCAGACATGAACCAAACATCCACCATCAAGCAGACATGAACCAAACATCCACCATCAAGCAGACCTGAACCAAACACATCCAGCATCAAGCAGACATGAACCAAACACATCAAGCAGACGTGAACCAAACACATCAAGCAGACATGAACCAAACACATCCACCATCAAGCAGACGTGAACTAAACACATCGAGCAGACATGAACCAAACACATCAAGCAGACGTGAACCAAACACATCGAGCAGACATGAACCAAACACATCCACCATCAAGCAGATGTGAACTAAACACATCAAGCAGACATGAACCAAACACATCAAGCAGACATGAACCAAACACATCAAGCAGACGTGAACCAAACACATCAAGCAGACGTGAACCAAACACATCCACCATCAAGCAGACATGAACCAAACACATCAAGCAGACATGAACCAAACACATCAAGCAGACATGAACCAAACACATCAAGCAGACATGAACCGTACACATCCACCATCAAGCAGACATGAACTAAACACATCAAGCAGACATGAACCAAACACATCCACCATCAAGCAGACCTGAACCAAACACATCAAGCAGACATGAACCAAACACATCAAGCAGACGTGAACCAAACACATCAAGCAGACATGAACCAAACACATCAAGCAGACATGAACCAAACACATCAAGCAGACGTGAACCAAACACATCAAGCAGACATGAACCAAACACATCCACCATCAAGCAGACGTGAACTAAACACATCAAGCAGACGTGAACCAAACACATCGAGCAGACATGAACCAAACACATCAAGCAGACATGAACCAAACACATCCACCATCAAGCAGATGTGAACTAAACACATCAAGCAGACATGAACCAAACACATCAAGCAGACATGTACCAAACACATCAAGCAGACGTGAACCAAACACATCAAGCAGACATGAACCAAACACATCCACCATCAAGCAGACATGAACTAAACACATCAACACATCAAGCAGACATGAACCAAACACATCAAGCAGACATGAACCAAACACATCAAGCAGACATGAACCGTACACATCCACCATCAAGCAGACATGAACTAAACACATCAAGCAGACATGAACCAAACACATCAAGCAGACATGAACCAAACACATCCACCATCAAGCAGACCTGAACTAAACACATCAAGCAGACATGAACCAAACACATCCACCATCAAGCAGACCTGAACCAAACACATCAAGCAGACGTGAACCAAACACATCCACATCAAGCAGACATGAACCAAACACATCCACATCAAGCAGACGTGAACCAAACACGTCCACCATCAAGCAGACCTGAACCAAACACATCAAGCAGACGTGAACCAAACTCATCAAGCAGACATGAACCGTACACATCCACCATCAAGCAGACCTGAACCAAACACATCCACCATCAAGCAGACATGAACCAAACACATCAAGCAGACGTGAACCAAACACATCAAGCAGACGTAAACCGTACACGTCCACCATCAAGCAGACATGAACCAATCACATCCACCTTAAAGCAGACATGAACCAAACACATCCATTTGAAGTGCTCATAAGAACATGGGTTTTTATCTTTGGAAGGAAATAATTGTGCAATATTTATCCCTGATGATATTTTGGTTACTTTCCTCGTCTGCACCTTCAGCATTTTCATTGGCAGTTTTGAATCCACCCTTGGCAAAGCCGTTAGGTCGGAGTTCAAGATGGCTCTATCATCCTGTGCTCATTTGGCTGTGATCCCTCCTCTCTGCTTGAAGCTTTCAGTCCAGGCTGTGTTGTACTTGCAATTCTCGTGTCAATGCCGGAGTAGCTTTCATCTGGAGCGAAGGCCCACTTAAAGGGATATTTGCACTTCAGATGGTTCTTCTACATCTTGGTGATTGGCACATTAAAACTGTTTCCGAGGAGGGTGAAAATCAGCTGATTGTGCCAATGACAGGATGGAATCCGTCTTCTTCATTATCATGCCAAGTATCGACATTGCAAACCCGATTCAGCAATTTAGACCCAAATTGGCATCTGAAACCAGTGAGATGGCAGCCTCTATCTGAGACATATATTCCAGCTATAGGATGGCGGGCTGCAAATAAGTCTGGATCAGACATCCAAGTGATTCATTTTGTGAACAACAAACCACACCACTGAGATATGAGGATATGCCTAGTCACCAGGCCTCACCACCCAATTTATTTGATCGCCTTTTACCACCAGCATGGGTTGCTGGGGACCTATTCTAACCAGGAATCCCCATGGGGTTTGAATAATATGGCTGGAGTACCTCCATCGATCCTCCTCTTGGTATTTGAATTGTACAAGCCATTTTGTTACTGTGGTGCTGTCATGTTACAGCATCCTTTATATTTATGCTGAAAGCAACGAAAACCCAACTCACTCACTCACTCATTTGTACCTATGCTACCAGTTATTCACTGAAAGCTGACATACAACTGAAAGAGGTGTTAAACCCAACTCACTCACTCACTCACTCACTCACTCACTCACTCACTCACTCACTCTTCACCAGCAGAAGCAGCAAGTGTCTTCCAAGAGTCGTGTTACACAGCAGTAAGAAACTGGCGTCTCTGTCTTCTGGATGTCAAGTTCTTAAATTTACAAGACTTCAGTGTGAAGTGTGTTTTTGTATATTTTTGGTGGATATTGTTTTTATCCAAGCATAAATAATGTTCACAACAGCAGATCTCTACCATCAATTTGTTGCCTTAATGAACTGGTCAGTTCAATGAATGAATGAGAATGGTATGAATACCAAAGTTTTTGAAATAGAGTAAGTAGTACATGAGTATTTTGTTTCTGAGAATCTGTACAGATTGGGAATTTTTCTCTGTAGTATTCTTGTTTGCCAAGTTGCAGGATTAGATTGATTGATTCATTGTCCATCATTGTTTTTCATTGTTTAATTATCATTGTTCATCATTGTTCTGCATTGTATTTCATTGTTCTGCATTGTATTTCATTGTTCTGCATTATACTCATTGTCCAAAGGGCCATTTGCCCTTTCACTGGTAATGATGCGTCTTTGGTTTGACTCCTCCAGACAAATTGTTACTCTGCTTATGGAACCCCTGAGTGGTATCACATGTTGTACAAATGTTTCGGCCATTATAAAATATCTGAGGTTTATCCCAACCAGCTCATCTTCCCGAGGCAAGAGAGTTAACTGACTTTAAAAGTCCAGTTTCCTCCCTTGCGGAATTAGGCTGGAATTCCTGGGCTCGATAGTAGCACCACCAGTGGCTATTACCAGTTATGTCCCTTCTATGCCTCTCCTATGGACCAGCGTTCGCTCGTCACGCCGAAGACCCGGGTTTGATTCCAGACATGGGTACAATGTGTGAAGCCCATTTCTGGTGTCCCCCGCCGTAATATTGCTGGAATATTGCTAAAAGCGGCGTAAAACCATACTCACTCACTCACTCTCCTATGGACCAATCAGATTCCACCTCTCGTATCACTTGCATTTGCTTCAAACAAAATGGCGGTGGTCAAGACGATCTGATCAATATTCAAGATCTTTATTGTGATAAAACAAGTCTTACATTTAGAAAATATCTGTGACAACGAGCTAGCGATGCACATGCTTTGTAAATCCTGCATTCGACCGAAATCTGCATGACATTTACGAACCGGATTTCAATTTCGTTGTGCGATTTTGATTGGACAATGCATAGACTCTGCCTCTGCCTCAGTATTGAAACAATGGAAAATAATAGTATCAATTTTGTACTATTGCGAATGTACCATTTAGATGGTATATATTTTTCATATCATGAAACAAAATCTACAGTTATTTATGCCTGTGAGCTTCCGTGCCTTTGTTCTCATATATCATTCATTTAATGTGTTCCTTCATAATCAGCAATTTTATTAACTGTATCTGTGATCAAATAAAATCTCTGTCTTTATCACTGTGTTTTGCTATGTTAAACTGTTAACTCATAGAATATTCCTAGAACCTGAACGATATAAGCAACTGGAGTGTAGCTTGCTAAATCTATCAGTTGTCTTCAATTAAATGAATTCCTTTACTGGTAATGACAACATCATGGAATCCATGCATTCTAACATATGGACCAATAGTGAGTGAGTTGGGTTTAATGCCACTTTGAACAGTATTCCAGGTATATCATGGCATGCCACTTTGAACAGTATTCCAGGTATATCATGGCATGCCACTTTGAACAGTATTGCAGTTATATCATGGCATGCCACTTTGAACAGTATTCCAGTTATATCATGGCATGCCACTTGAACAGTATTCCAGTTATATCATGGCATGCCACTTTGAACAGTATTCCAGTTATATCATGGCATGCCACTTTGAACAGTATTCCAGTTATATCACGGCATGCCACTTTGAACAGTATTCCAGTTATATCATGGCATGCCACTTTGAACAGTATTCCAGTTATATCATGGCATGCCACTTTGAACAGTATTCCAGTTATATCATGGCATGCCATTTTGAACAGTATTCCAGTTATATCACGACATGCCACTTTGAACAGTATTCCAGTTATATCATGGCATGCCATTTTGAACAGTATTCCAGTTATATCATGGCATGCCACTTTGAACAGTATTCCAGTTATATCCTGGCATGCCACTTTGAACAGTATTCCAGTTATATCACGGCATGCCACTTTGAACAGTATTCCAGTTATATCCTGGCATGCCACTTTGAACAGTAATCCAGTTATATCATGGCATGCCACTTTGAACAGTATTGCAGTTATATCATGGCATGGCACTTTGAACAGTATTCCAGTTATATCATGGCATGCCACTTGAACAGTATTCCAGTTATATCATGGCATGCCACTTTGAACAGTATTCCAGTTATATCATGGCATGCCACTTTGAACAGTATTCCAGTTATATCATGGCATGTCAGGTTTCAGATGTTTACTACAATACCCAAGGGATGCAACTCTTCATTGCAAATTGTGGCGCCTTAGATGACTGTGCCACCCGT